CATGGGTCCACCCTGACGCTTCTGCCACTCGTGCTGGTCCGATATATGATAACGGTTGCTCGATGTGGGTGTTTCCTTCAACTTGGGGACTTGAAATTCGTTATGTGGTCAGGGATCGTTCTAAGATTCACCGATTGCGTAAGGATGGTGTTATCAAAATAAATGAGTGGAATTTTATAGGGACCACATACGATTATCAAACTGGCGTTGCGTCTGTGTGGGTGAATGACAGCATGGTTATGAACAATTCTCTTGGATCCAACGTGGAATTGGCGACTCAAGGAAATCTTACGATAGGAGCGTCCAACAACAGTGAGATACAACTTTATGGCAAAGTTTCCTGCTTGCAGTTCTTCGCTCAAGCGTTGTCCTTGGATCAAATTATGAACATAAAAACAAGATGTAATCAAACCGGTAAGCATGTCTGATAAATGTGTCTCTGTTTGGGGATTGTTTTTTCAAAAAGGAAAAATTTATCCCTAGTAACCTTGTTTCAAGAACCAGCCAATTTTTATTCTAATTGATCTTTGATCTAAGTGTGTTTTCTTGTATCAGTCTTCTCTTTACCATGGACTTGCGTTCTAGCTTCTATTATTATTTTCTTTTTTACTTTTATCTCTCTCTCCCTTTCCCGATTTCTTTCTGGATTCGTCTAATCTGCCCTTGTAGGCAATGCTCGAGATTCAGCTGTATAAATTACAGACTCGACGTAAGTCACTTGTTCTTGAAACGTTTACAAGTTTGGAGACACCTCTCAAGGTGATTCTGTAATGTATGATCTTTTATAATCCACTTTATACATAATAGGATAACACTTCATTCAACTTAACTCCTCATCCAGGTGCCCTTGGAATAATTTTTCCTAATGTAAGTCAGCTAGGACTATATTAATATATATATATATATATATATAATATGTTAATATATATTATATATTATTATCTCTTTATTATACAATATGTATATATATATTAATATATACATATTATATATTTTTTTACTATATTGTTGACCTTAAAGATTTATTCTAACTTAATACCTTTATACCTTTAGTATTACCTACGACTTCACTAGATTACAAGAAAGTGGGATGCTATCGAGACACAAGCAATCGTGCAATTCCGAAATTAGAAGACGCTGACCCTTTATTGCTCGGTGCTTACCAGGACCGTGAAAACGCAATCGAAAAGTGCGCCCTCGCAGCTCGAAAAAGGGGTTTTCGCATGTTTGCACTTCAGAATGGCGGATGGTGCGCAGCCAGTGTAACAGCTGAAGAAACGTTTAACAAATATGGTGAGAGCAATCATTGCCGAGGCGATGGCAAAGGAGGACCCTGGTCAAACGATGTTTACATTATTCAAGGTTGGTCGATTTGATCAACGTAACGTGACAATTTGTGTTCCATAACCTAATAATTAAGGATTTCTTCTCGTTTTATCGGGTAAAAAAAATCCACTTTCGAGCAATTCTAACACATTAAGAAAATGGGCACTGATGACAAAAGAGAACGATTTGTTTTACGTCACAAGTCGGGGTCAGAGTTGTTGGTCAGGACTTAAAATAGCGGATTCCGTGACAAGGTTTAAGGTTCATTAGCAGACCTTCGTTTGTTATGTTAGTCTTTGGAATCTCAAAACTCTCTCAGTTACATGACTTAATGTATACTATAAAGACGGCTTTAGAAAATAAACGGTTCCCGAAAGGTACTTCTCTTTTACAAGGAATAAGAGTCATTGGACTACAGCCACCAGGATCCCCCCGCCCTATGTACACCTCGTTCAAAAGAAGTATGATTGTCATATGAATCACATTTCGATAACTTATTTCAAATCAGAGAGAGAAAACGGAATCAGTCGTTTTAGTTGTAAGTAATTGATGACTCGCGCAAAGTTGTCCTATTTTAACAACTCCTCCTATTTTAATCCGTTAAAAGTGCCACTCTATGTACACTCTATTAAGCTACATGTGCCAAAGCTATGATCAGAATCCATAAAGGTTTTCAGTGTCTTGGGCATCGGGAAAAAGAAGATAATTGTATAAAAACATTGCATGTGAAATCGACACAATCAAAAAAATGTAACAGAATTCACAGACATAAATCAATTGCCTCGAAAGCTTTCCCTTAATGACGAATATTCGGACTCACAAGCGATATTTGATCTATGATTCTGCTTTTTCTCGAAGCCTTCTTTTAGGTTTTCATTGCCTTATGCACTGATGCTAATTTTTTCAAATAAGTGATGCATAACATACAAACAACAACATTAATGTAGTTCTTTTTCATGTCGATAGTCTCAGGTTTTTGCCGCACGATTTTTTCGGATCGTTGCGGTATAATACCGTCTCGCTTAACCAGATATTAGCCATGCTTTTTACTAGCCGATAAAACACCAGGCATGGCACTCATTTGTTCAGTTAAACTCAGTTACTTTCCAGTGACGAAACTGTTTTAATTGAATAGATTATGTAAATGTGGGGTGCTACAGAGACGACTCCTCCATTCGTGCAGTTCCGGACCTAGAAAGAACAGATCCAGTCTTGGATGGAAATTACCGTGTACGTCAGAACGCAGTTGAAAAGTGTGCTATTGTGGCTCGCAAAAGAGGTTTCCGCATGTTTGCAATTCAAGATCATGGGCAGTGCTTGTCCAGTGCTACAGCAGGAGAAACGTTCGAAAAGTACGGCAAGAGTGATAAATGCAGTGAAGACGGCAAAGGAGGGCCTTGGGCAAACAATGTTTACGCATTTAGAGGTGGGGAAAATTTCTTCTGACACCTGTGCATTCATGGGTCAATTTGCAATTATGTAGTTCGGTACTAAAGCCAAATAAGATTATTGAATTATTAATATTGTCGTTGATGAGAACATTTCAAACATTAACGAGGCACTGTTATCGACTGAGTAGACCCAATTCTGAAACTCAAGGCAGAACAACTCGCAATTCCAATTCCCTGATAACTGTGGCGTGTTTTACAATAAAAAACAATAGGATGGTTCTGTTGACAAGATTTTTTGTTTCTTTTCCATGAAGTTTCTCAATCATGGTGCCGTCAGGGCTTTTTACCCCTTCATGGCGGTTGCTATTTGATATATCCCCCAAAAGAACTTAATTGGCAACAGGCTTTGGAGCGGTGCAATCGAAGTGGTGGAACCTTGGCCAAGATAACTCGTGAGGGTTTGAGATCTACTTTCTCCAATTTATTAGAAGAAATAAGACGCTTCAAGCCATATTATAACAGTTTCTTCATTGGCTTGTTGAGCAAGGACGAGTGGACATGGATTGACGACAGCCCGTTAAATAGCTCGTTATGGAAGCCAGGGTATCCAAAAACAATTAAAAAAACCCGTAGCTGTGGTTATTTAGCAGCTGGCTCATCGCGGATAAAGAGTGATACATGTACAATAAATAGTTACCCACTGTGTCAGAAAAAAGCTGGTGAGTTTCTATGGTCAACTCCTTAGTTAAATGCTCCTTTTTTCCTTTTTTTAAAATATAGTTTCATATATACAGGTGTGTGTGTATTGAGATAGGAAAAAACATAGGGACGACACTTTCATTCCGACAAGCCTGTTTCGTTATTAACTCCCTCAATAGCACAAGGTAAAGACGCAACCTCTGCCTTAAAGAGAAATTAATAATTATCTCCCGACCTGAATTGCCATCAATTAGCAAACGTAATGAAGTTGTGTCTTCGTGCCGTCACAGAAACAAAGCGTTGTGCGTAACAGCTGAACAAAACATCTAAATTTACCGCCAAATGAATTATGCAAATTTTATAGTATATTAATGATGGTTACGATGGTCACGATGGTCATATATATATGACCATGGTCAATTAACGTTCACGTTCTCTTTAGACCTACGTCGAGCTCCAACAGACCGAACATTCTCTAGCAGTATCTAACTTGCCAACTGAACCTTCCCCTGTGTACTCGTCCTTGCGATTTTTCAAACCTCTCAAACTTTCATAACAATTAAAAAGTTTGATTGCTAGATATAGCTGTGACATTTTTATTAAATTATAGAAGAGTCATTGTCAAACCGGAGTTTGATACGAAGTTCAAGCATGTTGCAGCCATTTGAACCTATCCTTGCCATAGATCGATCTTACTCTACTTGCTTTCGTTCTTTGAAGGTAAGTAATGACATTGGTTGCTTAATTCGCGTGCTAAATCTGTTGTTGAGTTTTTCCAGTCTTTCTGGATCGAAAGCTGCGGCAGAATTTTTTTCCTTTAACGAAAATAGATGGACTAGAAATATCATCTGTTCTGGTTTGAGTAAAGTATGTTTCTCTATGTTTTATACATTGCTAAGTACGCTCTCGTCGGTTTAGGAATCAAATCCCTGGTGGCAAGGAACCTTTGACAAACCACTGTATGTCGTTTCTGTTTCAATAATTGACAAAATCGATTGCTGTCCACGTGACTCTGGAATAATCAATGTTAGTGTGACAACCAGTCAATCTGACTTGTCTCCAACATGTTCCAAATCGATGGCATATGATGGCACAACACATGAATTCATTTTTGATTGCTCACCACCCGCGCTTGGAAGTAATGTGAAAATAACGTTGACGGGTGATAATGTCAAGTTAGTTCTCTGCCATGTTGCCGTGGAAACAATTGGTAAGTTATTGAAAGATGCCTTTATTTATTAATTTTTTTGCCCAGACGCTTTTTTGGTGAGGGAAAGAATGAAGCTAATCTAGCTTATTTTACATTCTTTGGTATCAGCCTTTGCACTTATAATCTTTTGATAAATAAGTGAGCTAACGCGATGTAAGAGTATCCTAGTCATCTATTTAATTCAGCAATTTTACTTTGGCCTGTTTCAAGTGAAAATGGACGGGAGATATCTTTTTGGGGGGCTACTCTGCTTGTACGAGTAAACGTATTTGTTCAATGTTTGACTTAATATAGAGTCGACCCGAGAGGTACACGGAGTTTTGCGTGAAGGATGGTACAATAAATACGAATATGACTCCAAAAAGACATCATCTATGCGTGAACACCCTCTAATTCAAGGTCCACCTGAAAGCCGGACTATTTTGAGAGATTTTGATGCGCCAATAAATCTGGCAGAGAACTATGTTCAACGATTGACAAGTTACCTACAGGTAGAATCTCATCATAGCAAACGTATTTTTGCACTCACCTGAGATCAATTGTAAGGCTTTTGATGCGTTGTAAGGTTCACTTTTCCTTTCGAAAAGCAGGGAGTATCTCAACTAAAAGAGTTAGTATGAAGGTATCACTGTAATCCTGCCTTTTTGACATGTTAAGATTAAGTTTGTTGTCGGTGTTGCTGCTGTTTATTTGTTGGTGCTATCGCTTTTTTCATTAAAAAAATACATTTGTTAGAATTTGACCGAACAGGCCAATTATGAAACACTGTTTCAGGTTTCTCTGAGTGGAAATTATACCTTTTATGTGGCGTGCGACGATATGTGTGAGTTATGGAAGTACGATGTTACAGAGACAGGCATCAGAAGAGTTGAAATAGAATCTGGGGAAAGTGTAAAGCCAATTATTCATGTTAAAAGGTGGACACAATATCTCCAATGGGACAAGTAAGTGATGTGCAAGCAGTACATTACTATGTTATTATTTTGGTGACATTTTTAGTTATCCTTAGAGCTGATATACTCTAATTACTTTGTTATTGAAGGTACCCAGAGCAAACATCTCCGCCAATCGTCCTTAAAAAGTGTCGCTTTTATCGAATGGTGATCTTCGGTAGGGAAAAAGGCGGCAACGATCACATATCTGTGGGCATGCGTAACCCAAATGGGGAATATGAACGGCCTATTACAGGGGAAAGACTGTTTTGGACTAAACCAGGTAGGGAGATTCTGATTCGTTTATTTGGTTAAAGCAGAGAGAGGAAACGAACAAGGAAACAAAGTTAAGGAGAAAAACATGAACGGAAAGTGTTTCAAACTATAAAAAAAGAAGACAAACAAGCACACACAGAAAAAAAACAGACTGTTCAATAGAACGAGTTATCTATGTCTCTCTCTTGGACCCAGACATCTTTACCATGAAGCTGAAGCTCATAACATCTCCTAGGAGCTACTGGAATTTCTTTTATTCGGTGCCACTGATTAAACAAAGAAACAAAAAAAAAAGACATGTATTAGTAGACAAATATCGTCATTTACAATGCTTTTTTCGATTGAAGTGTAAAATTTTGTTTCTCTTCAAAGGGACGCGTAATCTAGAACTGTCACTTAAGAATCACAAGACATCGATATCTACCTTCGTTGGGTCAAAGTTACTCATACAAGGTTGGTTTATTGGTATTGTCCTACATCTACAAGGATTCTCTCACCTATATTGAAAATATGGGGAATCGGGAAGATTTAAGTGATCATGTGAGAATCAACCCTTCTAAATTATAAAGAAAGTAGAAGCTCTCTACTATCAAGAAAGATCTTGATAAGATATAATGGTACTTAAGACTCATAAAAAAAAAAGTTTTCACTTAACGTCATTGCGGTCATACTTTTAACTAAAACAGTGAAAAAACGGCCACTTCGGCGTCCATATTACAAAAAAACACAAAAAAAACAAAAACAAAGAACTAAAAAGAAACAGTTTCTTTTGTTCCAATTTCTTCGCATAAATTATCATTATGTGATTGAAAAAAGTTCTTGGCCGTTACTATGTGACGTTTCAGAAATAAATCAATTCAGGAATACCTTTGAGAGAGATTTCTAAGGAGTTGAAAAAGCCTCAAACAACCTTTTTATAAGCATTTGATGATTGCTAACTCGGAAGGCGTGGTTAGGATCATCTTTACGAGAGGAGGACGGTAGACTATCAGTTTAAACTTGCGAATGGAACTTTAAGACGTAGACTGTAGAATAGGTTCATCATACAACATGTTTGGCCAAATTATAGGATATTACAAGTTTTGCTGTGAGGGAGTCTATTGTCCTGATTGTCCACTGAAACTGAACATCTCAAGCCTCGGACAAAATCTAACTCTGAACTCATCAGTGAGCCTGTCCTGTATTAACACATCATTTGAGGTAGTTTTTAACACGATCTGTCAACCTGAAAATTTTATTGTGAAGGTAAGAAGCTCTCATTTAAGTAGCTGTGATCATTTAAGTGATGATTCCTACCACATTTATGGCAACAAAATCAACGAGACACCGTGCCATGCTTATTTATGTGGTGTGATTGACAGCTAATTGAGACACTTGAACACTGCGTGTGTTGCATGACATATAATTCGTTTTGTTGTATATGAATTGTTGCATAATTCGTTGTATTGTACATAAACTGTGAATAGACTTAATTATATACATGAGCCTGCAATTCTAAGGTTGTAGTTGGCCGCCATGTTAGTCAGAGATTTGGTGATTAAAGCCTTTAAGTTCAGGCAACGTCTTCTCTCGTTTATAACAATTTACAAAATTTGACAAGAATATGAATAATGATGAAGTAAATGAATGATAAATTTTGAAATTGTAGGGGATTGTTTTTATCACTGTTTTTTTTTATTAACTTGTCATCGGTATAAGTAGAAATACATTGGTCTTTAACTATTTAAGAGTGTGTCGATCCCATCACCCTAGAAATAGAAGTAAAACGTATGTAGTCGAAACTTTGTGTCCTACACTACATTTTGAAACGAACGAGAGTAGTGCATTACTTTTGCACTAATCAGGTTGGATGATTACAAATCTTTTATTTGAGAAGAACACGGCCTTGAGGTAAAGCAACTTGGTGCATGCACGAACGATAAGCCTCACTGAACTGGAAACTGTCATATTTGGAAGTAGTACCTAACCCACACGCTGTGATTATTTTCAGGCCAGCTATTCATTCGTGGAACATCCAGAGGAAATTCTCGAGGAGCGAGTTTTGGGACAAGTAGATCTTAAAGGTATCTCCTTTTACAGTATTATATAGGATTACAAGAATTACCTTGTCTGTGTGAATCCCGCCGCGTTGCTCTTTAACCACCGCTAACGGAGATTTATTTTTTATGTTTCCTCAAAAGCGGTGGTGCTAGAAGAATGCTACTTCGAGTCTGGAAAATGCGACTGGACTAGCCTACATGCAAATTCCGAGTGGAAGCTCTTTCCTGGTACGAAATCTATAAAATACTTCAGTAAGCTTAAGAAAAGAAGGGCAGTACTGCGAGCAACAGTTAAGTTTTTTTTTAAATGACTTGCTTTTCCTGCTAAGAAAGAAAAATCCTTAGAATAGAATTATTACGCTACAAACCACTCCCTAAAGGAAATGAAGTTTGAACAATAAGGCTGAAATTGAGGAGATCTGAATTCAATTGGCAGACTCTGATCCTAAATTCAGAATCTTTTTGGTTAAACGTCGCAACGAATAGAAAAAAAGTATTAAAATAACGTTTCATTCTATGAAATTCACTGTACATATTTTTATCCTAGGCGATTTCGCATACATTGATGGCCCTCACAAAGCGCAGTTACAGAGTCCACTATTACCATGGGAACCATTTTATCGAGTCGTTGGCTTGTGCTTACGGTTCACTTACCGTATACCTTTTAAATCAAAGTCAACCATAAAAGTTCTTCTTCGGGAACCAGGGAAAGAGGAGCTAATTTTAACATGGCAGCTTAGGGGATACCATGGTAAAGAATGGTCTGCGGCTGAGGTGTCTTTGCCCGGCGCAGCAGCAGTTCAGGTCAGAAAGTTATGACGATGAAATTTATTCGATTGAACTCTTCATTTATTTCTGGAGTTCATATTTCATAATTTTTAAATGAATCTTTGACATTTGCTATGATAGGTGATGATGCCTACATTATTAATCTCTTTGTCTAGATTATATTTGAGGGAGAAGGCTTTCTTCATAACCAAGTAAATGCAGCAATCAAGAACGTGACTGTAACTACCGAGAAATGTGACTTGCTACCATACTTTGCGAAACCAGGTTATATTTGCCGGTTTTCTTTTCTTCACTTTTTTTTTGTGTGTTGCTGATTTTGAACATGACAAGATAGAGTAATTAAACTTAACCAAAAAAAAGGGAACAATTATCACTGATATCACTGATTCTTTGAATTCAGATAGAATAAAAAGGTACATTAAGTTTGCATGCATCTGATGGATGATAAAGGAGAAAGAAAGGAAAAAATCGTATGTTTTCTTAGCTTTTATTGATCACATTGGATTTCCAGGTTTTAGTTGCGGGAATAAACAGTTTCAATGCAAGAATGGCGAATGTGTCAAGGAAAATTTGCGATGTGATGGCGACTCTGCTTGTGCCGATGATTCAGATGAAGATAATTGTGAATGTCCCTACAATAAGTTCGCTTGTCTGGATGGAAAATGTCTTCCAGCTTCAGCTGTATGTAACGGTATAAATGACTGCTCTAATGGGGATGATGAAAATAACTGCCGTGAGTAAATCTTCCTTTGCCATCCACTTTTTGAGTCTTGATTTAATTAGAGTGAAACTCACTCTTTTCCCTTCCCATCTATATATGCTGAGTTGCATTTCCACATAGTTTGGAATTAATGCTTTTTAGGAAATAAGTGCCACTTTAAGCATCACTGTCTTGATGGATCATGCATTTCTTGGTCAGAGACCTGTATTCGAGAGCCTTCCTGCAAGGATGGAACTAATACACCATCAGTATGCGGTAAGTAAGGCATAGAAAATGTCTTAACCAACAAAATTTATTTTTTGAAATTACACGTTCTAGTATCGAAGGCCAGAGATTTCAGGCCTCTGTCTTGATCTCTTCGTAATCCATTTATCACTGAAAGATCACAAAATAGGCTATGTGAGCCACAGATGGACATGATCACAAGGTGTTTGAGATAAAAGCTGCGTCTTCGTGAAATTATGGTTATTATCTTCAGGTCTACTAGCGTAATGGACGACAGCGATGTTTCAAGAAATGTTCTAACTGCGAGAGGTGTCCAATATGTAAATTTTTGTCCAGATCGAATTCTTATGAACTAGTGAAGACAAATAAGAATCTACTAGGGAAGGAAGCTTTCGTTTACGTGGAACCAAATTCACAACAAATAATTAATTATGTCGTCATCAATTGGCCGAATTAATCCTTGGAGGTTGACAATGAAGTAGGTAGCATGTTTCATGGAGTCGATTACTTGCCTTACAGGATCTGGGAAATGCCGCCTTAACGACTTAGCGTGCTCATCCAAAGAGTCCAAAGGACCAACAAGATGTAAATCTTTCAGAAGTAAGTGCATGGCTTTGTGTTGCCAATATAGCGTCTAAATCAACTCAAATTTAACGCAGAGACAAGAATATTGGTAATTGTAAGGCACATGCGCCAGCGATGGCTTGTCACTGTAGCATCAGGGGAACGAAGAAAGAATGCAGGCCGATGAATTTCAATGGTTATTTATCGTGAGTCACGAAAATCCATGAGGCATTTCCTAACTGCTGTTATTTCAAACAGGTTTTTGCAATTTCGAAAATGACTTGTGCCAACTTACTCCGGATATGAATGCCACTTTCCAATGGACCACAGCTTCAGGTGAAACACCAACGGAGAAGACTGGGCCAAGTTACGATCATAGCATGTTAAGCAAAGACGGTAAGAGGTGAAATGAAATGTTCGTCTTACGTAGGAAAACAAATAATTTTAATCAAGTTAAAATAGTGAATCTCACATAAAATCCTTACCTAACTTGTTTTGCATGGTGCAGTACGCTCAAATTAGTACGACGGCACATTCCCATTGTGACGTCTGTGTTGGGAAAGTTGTGTCTTATATTTGTTTGGTGCCGGGGTGTTGTTGAATAATATCAGCTGAAAATCGAGAAATGGCGTCACGACAAGCTTTCTACAATCAAGCGTACACTTTTGCTTTGCGATCACTCAAACTTTCCTCGATGCTCTCACAAAAAAGTGAACATGGCATAAATTACACAAAGAAAGTAATGGAGAACATTTGTTACTTCATAGGGTCGTATATCTATATCGAAGCTTCTCCGCAACGCTTTGGGGACGTAGCAAGGTTGTTAAGCAAATGGATGGAACCAAACCAGTCAGCTTGTGTTCAGTTTTGGTATCATATGTACGGGTCAAATATCGGTAACCTGAGCTTTTATCTGAAGACTAATCAATCCAAGACATTGGTTTGGAGACTGTCAAGCGATCAAGGGGATCGCTGGAAGTTTGGTCAATTTTCTCTGATCAGTGAAAGGGCTCATAGGGTAAGTTACGCTAAGCTTCCAAACTGCCGTATCTTTAGTTTGAAACTGTAATCTTTACTTATATTTTTTTCGGCTGGAACTGGTCTCATTCTCTGAAAATCTAATTTAAAAAACATTTACCAAAGCATGCACATAAGTGTATATTGATCGGAATATTTCAAGACGGGTTAATTTAATGCGCTGATCTTGGCTTGGTGATGAGCCGTTCTTGGTAACTCTCTTTCTTTTTTTTTACGTATTTTGACTTATATGGAGATTGATAACGTTAATTAGAATGTGGTCACAAATTATATATATATTTTTTATGCTGTTTACAAAGTTTGTCGTAGAAGGAACGACTAGTGGTGGAAGTGAAGGTGACATTGCAATAGATGATATGTCTGTACTGGATGAAAACTGTAAGAAGATTATTGCACAAGGTTTGGATTAAAACGCCTAAGGGGAAAGCAAAGCAATGGTTTATTTGCAGCAAAGACGTTACTTGAAATGACCTTTAACGCCGCTACAGTTCTTTTTAGAATCTGAAATATTTCAAGGCTGCCTCTTTAGTGATATTCTAATAAAAATTTACAAAAATAGCGGAGCCTGCAGCGCACTTAGCGTAGCCCCATACCTCAGCAACTTTGGTAACCTGTTCGGTTAGACAATTTTCGTTGTAGGGCGATATTCGTCGTCCGTCCGTCACGGTATTCTCGTTCACCTGAAAAGATAAATCATACTTTGCATAAGCGAACAGCTGCACTTTACACAAGGGCACATGGCAATTTATGAGTACACGTAAAAGTGTATGAAGTTGTGCGCTTGCGTGAGTCTATGACTAATTCGCAGACCAAACGTGCATGTGCCACTAAATGTGGCTGTAACTTTACGGACTGCAAAAATTCGAGATCTGCCTTAGCATAGTGTAAGCGCAAGTTAGACCAATTGGACATCTATAAATCTTCGTGGGAGAGTAGTCTCAGGTTAACAAACTTTGCTGTTTCAATGTAACATCGACCAAACCAATTTAACTTTAGGTATATTACCGTCCTTAGGAGGATTTATTTTAAAATCGAAGGTGTTTCGTTCAACATATATTTGTCAACAGCTGGTTATGCCACAGAATCCGTTGTCAAATATACGCATCGAACTCAACCCATTTTAGTTTTGAAAAAAACACCTGTACCTGAAAAACGGTGTCAGCCAAACGCACGGAGAAAAACCCTCAAGAGGGTCTGATTTATGGTAGGAGACTACTAAACCTAACCACTGAGTTCCATTCGTTCTTCTGAGATAGAAACTATGAATTCGACAAAACTTGAAAAAGGTTTCTATCATTTTCTTTCAATCTTTAGGTAGTCCAGACTGCAGTTTTAGAGAGGATACGTGTGATTGGGAGACTGGGGAAGGATGGACTCTCTCTAAACACTTACCTAACTCAGATTTACTAAATTACGGTAGGATTTTATTCATTCAATTTTTGTGGGCTGAGAAGTTGTAATAAGATTTATATTGATTGAGGCCTTGAGCTACTGTATATCTTTTTTATTCCAAGCTTTTGCCGATCCAAGTAAGGCATCGATTGCGTAGATCGGCAAAAGCTTGGAATAAAAAAGAAATTCAGTGACTCAGTGCCTCAATCGAATCATCCATTAAATGGACATGATACTGATAGACAACTTCAAACGTTTACTTTATGACTGCTTTCTACTTCAAATATTTTAGAATAGAAATAACACAGTATAACATCTTTACTGATTAAACACTGGGCAATCCACACTGCACATACCTGTTGGCAGGATAGGTGAGCGGCTGACAGACTGACTTGCTTACAAACTGACTGAATGACGGACAAACTGAACCAGTGACGGACTGTTGACCGATTAGCAGACATCAGCACTTAACATATTGAAATGTCTCATATGTGAAATCGCTGTTAACCTCTTTCAGACCATAATCAAATAGTTGCAGTTAATTTTTTACGTCACTATTAGGTCCAGGTGTATCATTTATTTTTCTCCGCGCCGGAGCGTCTGAAGTGCCTCATACACTCTCGTCCCCAATTATAAACACTCACGAATGGAAGTGCGTCCGCTTATGGTATTTCATTGGTGCCACAAACTGGTACAAATCGTCGTTACATGTGCTTCTGCAGTCGTTAATATCGAACCTATCCACACTGATCTTCTTCGTGGATGAAGTGGCAAGTGCGACAAATTATACTCAGATACCGTTACCAAGCAATTACAGCAAAGCAAAGGTACCAAATGTAATTCTTCCTAGTAGACTTGTGAGAAGAAATTTTTTCGGGCTGTAATGACGTTTTGAGATACTTATTCAGCCTCTAGGTATACAAGTTCACTTTTTTCCTATTACAAGCATCCTTTATCAATTGTTTCAGACTGATTAATGTCTTATGAAGTACACTCCCCTAGCATTAATGTAGTAAGAAATTCCGACGCTTGTGACTTATGTATAAACATTTTCTTTAAACACAATACAGCTAGAATTCTTTGGTATTTATGAAGAGTTTGGTCACCAAATTCTGGCCATTGAACAAGTTTCCTTTTCAAAAGGGACTTGTGACCCAATTTCTTGGCGACAAAATGGTGAGTTTACATGTATATGACTTGAAAACTAGGTTTTATAAATTTATTTTGTTTAATGCTGAGCGCAGACTACCTTAAGGACGACTCATTTGTTACACAAAACTCTATACTAATAGCTCAAAATTCACTTAGTTTTAAAAGTCGTTCAACCGCGTTTCTTACTTTACAAAATCGCCTCCCTCTGACGTAAACTTTACTCGAAGGGAATGCTGTTCGTCAAGTTAGCACTAAATTATACGTTTATCAATAAATGTGACGCTTTTAACTGTCCTACCATTTAAATCCATGAGTAATTAATGTCATAAAACCTCTAGATATTGACGAACCCCTTGGAATGCAAAATGGTGAAATAGTAGACACGCAAATTAGTTCTTTATCATCAATGGACGAGGTTCATGCTGCCAGTCGAGGCCGTCTAAACTTAAATGCAACTTCTGGAAAGGCAGGCGCTTGGACCGCCGGCACAAATGACAACAGCCAGTGGCTCCAGATTGATCTGCGTAATAATAACATCAGAGTCACGGGTGTTGCGACACAAGGGAGAAACGGACGGTACGCCCATTGGGTAACGAAATATAAGTTACAGTACAGCAGCGATGGGGTAAACTTCCAGTTCTACAAGGAACCTGGACATACCGCTCTTAAGGTGTGCACGAAATCCATTGAGCTGCCCACTCTTTATGTTTATTGTTCATTTTTTTAGCTGACATCAACCAACATAGTATAGCTCACTTAACTGGTTTTTTACCCAGCAATAACTGTATCAACTCTTAAAAGTGTTTTAAGCATGAACAAGATAAGTCCTAACATACTTGATTCAACTGTCAGAATCAATGACACTGAGACAGCATACTTAAGAAACTGAATGTGCGTAATCGTTATTGCTGAACACTTTTAGTTATCACATGCTGACCTCGTGTGATTAGTGCTTTAAAGATTCACTATTTTGCTAATGTAGGATTTCGCTGGAAACAAAGACCAAGATTCTGTTGTTTATCACGAACTTAAGTTTCCTATCAGAGCACGATTCATTCGCTTTCAACCAGAGGCTTGGCATGGGCAGATATCAATGAGAGTTGAGTTGTATGGTCATCAGAAAGGTATGTTAGTCAAAAGTGTATGATTTCATATTCAAATTTTAAAAACGTGAAACTCTTTTTACTGAGCCAGGATATCCTCAAAAGAAACCAAAATAAAACAGAATTGAAAACAAAACAAAAAAGGAATAATATTCCGAAAAAGAATAAATTATAGATTTTGATAAGCAAAACGATGTGTTACCTCCATTCTCAAATAGAATGCCAGAAAGCTCTGGGTATGGAAAACAATGAAATCTCCGATGGGCAAATTCGTGCCTCTTCCAGCTGGGATGGCAACTCTATCGCTAGCCGTGGGAGATTATCAATTAAAGCATCTGGTCGCATGAAGGGAAGCTGGACAGCTTCTGCAAAGAATTCACACCAATGGCTTCAGATTGATCTTGGAGCCAACGATACTAAAGTTACAGGTGTAGCTACTCAAGGAAGGCAAGATGCCGACCAATGGGTTACCAGTTACAAGCTTCAATATGGTAATGATGGATTGCATTTTCAGTACTACAAGGATCAAGGTGAGGAAAAGGTAAGCGAAAATAATCCTTCTCTTTGGAAAACCTCAAACAACATTGAAAGTTGTGAAATAGGGTCCGGATTAGGAGGGAAATTCTACGCGACCAGACTAAGTCATATGTTTCTGGCATTGCTCACAGTTTGGCAACTTTGATAAAGTTAATGTAACTTCCATCCAAGCTGGCCCTTGGACCTAAGAGTTCAATGGAAAACACGCAGCAATTTTAATACACGACCAGCCTCCATTCGAATCCTTGCTTGTCGTGAGCTAGCACAAGAAAATATAGACTAAGCTGGTTCAATATCAAAACCAGCGTTTGACTAACAGATAAGAGGTAATAAAATCACTATTTTCTTTTGTTTCTCATTGGTTTAGATAAATAAATTTTACTTCAAAGTAGTTTTGAAGTTTGAGGGGCATAAGGGATGGCTGCGAAAACGCTCTCTGAATAAATGTATCCTTTTAATGTCGACCTAATGGTTTCTGACTTTTAAAAGCGACATTTTCAGTTGCTGATTTCAAAGTAATGATAATAATGATATTGATGGTAATGATAATAAAAATAATAAATACAAAAACACGCGGTATCAGCCCGATCACATACAGAAAGATGAACGAAGTGCGAACAAACCATAAAAAATGAGAATACGGTGGTTCTTAAGTGAAGGATAATATTAATCCGGATCTCTGCGAGCTCAGGTGAATTTAGGAGAGTTGTTCATGTAATCGTTCAACTTTACACGAATGACTATCTTTTTACCTCCATAGGATTTTTCTGGAAACAACGACCGTGATACGGTTGTTTTTCATCAATTAAAACCGCCTATCGATGCCCGTTTCGTTCGTTTTTGCCCAGAGGCTTGGCAAAACCACATCTCAATGAGGGTGGAGCTGTATGGCTGTCTTCATGGTGGGCAACATTTTGATGTATCGGAGTTATTTGGCCTTTTGTAGATCGAAAATTTTCTAGGGTCCTTTGCAGGACCCTACCCTTTATTCTTGGTTGTTTCATTTTTTTAGGGCCTCTGACATTCATACTGTTTTATGGGTCGTTTTTAATCTAATTTTTGTCATATTTTTGTTTACCTCCAGAATGTCAGGAAGCTCTAGGTATGAAGAATGGTGCAATTCCCGATAGACACATAAGCGCCTCTTCGCATTGGGATAATTATTATGCGGCTTGGCAGGGTAGACTAGATTATAAAGGGACATGGAAAGCAGGGTCCTGGTCATCACGAGATAATGATATACATCAATGGCTACAGATTGATCTGTATAGTCCATACATGAAAGTTACAAGAATTGCCACACAAGGTAGAAATGCTCACGATCAATGGGTAACACGGTTTACATTGTGGTACAGCAACGATAGTAAAATTTTCCAATCCCATAAGGAAGCTGGAACAACGACGGAAAAGGTTAATATTACGTTACACCTTTAGAACACTTTTCAATTCAGAAAGTTTAGGCATTCGAAACAGACTTTTTAATGCTGACGTTTTAATACAAATGATATTTAGTTTTCGGAGCGGGATATCGCATCGGGATGAACCATAAAAAATGCTCTGTTACATTGCTTTGACGTTTTGACCCATTGTGCAACCTGAAACCATGGCCAATCAGGTTTACACTCCAAATGAAATCATCCAGATAAATACTAAGGTGCTACATCCTATGGTTATAAGAATTTTGGTGTCATACAATTTCCAAAAATTGTCTAATTGAAAGGGGAATCTGGATCATGCTGCCAACTAGATCCTCCGCTGCAGAGTTTTCCTAAACTTCGACCCAAAGGCAGGAACTGAAATTCACAGTTTACAAAAAGTTGCCGACTGGGTTTACAAAATAGTTTTTAAATGGCAGCTTCCATAACTAGTCTTGGATACCTTCAAATTCTAAAATTTTTAACCTAGGAAAGTCTATCAAAGCTGAAAATGCGGACTGTTACGTAATTCTTCAAATACGTTTTGGTTGGGGAGATAAATTTAATGATACCTGCAGAATTTTTGAGAATTATATTCTAATACCTTTTCATGCAGCATTTTGATGGAAACAGAGACCGGGATACCGTTGTTTACAATAAAATCAACCCACCAATCAAAGCTCGCTATATCCAAATTCGACCACAGGCCTGGTACCGCCACATTTCCATGAGGACAGAGCTTTATGGTTGTCTGGAAGATATTAAAGGGGGTAAGGAGTGTATTTACATTTAAATCGACTAGGCGTGTGCAGGATTTTTAAATTGTTGCGTATTTAAATCGCCTCTCAAGTGGTCTCTTGTTCTTAGTTGATGTGCTGTATTTATAATTTGCTTAAATCTCCTTCTGTTGCCAAAAAAGTTATTAGAAAATAAATTAATGTAGAGAAGGTAAACAGCATAAAAAATTCCATTTGGAATTTTTATTTTAAGTGGAGAATTCTATATGTGGATTATGAGCAGACAAGTAGGGAAGAAGACCAAAACTGTTCGCGTATATCTTACCCTTCATTCAAGCCCATTAGACCCTGGTTTTCCTTTCTGTAGTATCCATCAACATAGCATGCGTACTTGTCTTCAATTATTCTGTCAAAAATACCATTTACATTTCGACCATGTCTAATCAGCACGACTTATTTAATATGAGAGGAACTAGTACTATGAGAAATGTTAACTTGTAGAGGTGAGTGAGTGGAGTTACGGTTATCCTCCCACCTTTAGATTTTTAGCGCGAACATAGCTTACATACACGGATACACAGGATAGGTACGAGATGAGAGATGAATATACAAAAATGTTTCAGGGATGAGGCCTTCTGTGCCACTTGGCGCGAAGAAGTTAGGTGAAGGTGAAGTTGCCACAATGAAACTTAATAATTGAAAGAAAATGTTAACTAACATACTTTGGTTTTTCAATCATTAATTTTAAGAGAAGGCTTTGGCTTTGGCTTTGGCTTGTGAAAATGCTTGCAAATAGATCATAAATTTTAGAAAAAGGGAAAAGTCTCTGCTTAAACTCAAAGCCTAAATGCTGACTCCTAGGTTCAAGCTGGCAGTGTCCTAATACAAAGTTTTTTGAGCCACAGCATCCTTGTTTTATTCCTAAGTTAATTTTTGGCCTTTGCCAGTGGACTGCAAGAGTTATTGTTACAATAGCAAACAGAAACTGGCAAAAAGATGAGTCATCTTGGCAGTCCTGTTGATAAAAGATGTGACATCTTCACAACAGGAATACTGATGTGCTAAAGTAACAATGGAAACAGAATGTTATCTTGCATATGCCTAATTCTATATTCTTGATTATTTTCTTCTTCCTTTCTTTCCCAATATTTCAACTACAAAAAAGGCTTAGGCTCAAATAATTTATTATACCATTTTTGCCTACATTTATGTCATTCTAGATCTCACAGTGAACACTAATGTAATAGGGAACACAGTTGTGTGGCAGATGATAATGATCAAATGAATAAGTCTACTGAATTCATTTAAAAGTACTATGTTTACACACTAGATGGACAGTACCATTGACACGGATAAGTCTCAAAACAGGTCAAAGCCTATCATTTGGTCAGATAGAAACACACCCAAACTACTGTGTCATGCACCAGGTCTGTTAGTAAGAGCTATTCTTCAGGGTTCTGATATTCAAAATTACACCAGAGTTAAGATAGTGTGCACTTATTTCTAAGAACTCAGAAAACAACACACCAGAACAGATGGGTTCTCAAGGCAACCCACCCAGTTTTAACTTTGTTTATTTACTTTTAGATATGTAAACAAGTTATACTTGGTTTTACTTCCAATTGGTCAAGAAATTGGCATTAATGTCTAACAATGGAAAGCCAATATGATGATAATTAGTTATTATTACAGAAAACTATACCATAAAATTTGACTCTGAGTTACTGAAAACAACTCCTACTTCATAATATGGGATTAACACAAACATGCTGGTACACATTTTGTAATTTATTTTCCAATTGTATACCTGGCCATCCATCCAACATTGTGGCCTTTCTGTGCTGCTGGAACTGTTTTTGTGATAAATTTTTTTTGTTTTTAATTTACTGTGGTGTGACTTTCCCTAATCCCACTGCTAACTGTGGAAGAGGGCAGACTAATACAGAGGGTTTCCACCAGCAGCCTACATGCAGTTTTCTTTTTGTTTGACATAAATAGCATAATAATAACATAATTCGTCATAAATAGCTCCTTAGATAACTGAAAGAATATTGCCAATTTCAGCAGTTCATAACATTTGGGTATTACACATAATCTGTAAAAATCATGTTCTTTGTTTCACTCTGCCTGTCTCATATAAAACCAAACTTCAGAAGTTAGGTTCTGGGACCCAGAGCCACCATCTTGGATTACATATTAACATTGTTTGATTTGAGACCACAATGAAGAAAGCCTTTGGAGTGAATGTGAGCTAGAGCATCTGTGATATCATGACAAATGATCAGCCAGTCTTTGCTTGTCAGTGAACTGTTAACTTTCTCTAATATACCATTGGATTCTTTGCAATACAATAGTTTACTGACTGTTGCGGATGTATTTTCTTCCCCTTTGAACTCCATCACTAGAGATATAGGCTCTCTTTCAAGCTGGATTCCTATTATTGCAGGAATGTTTTTGTGTGTGAGAGTCTACATGATTTGTGCCTCCTTTACCATCTCTTTAGTGCTTTGCATCAGACATTGCTTTTCTACCACAAGAACGTTTAATCTTTTGAAAGATTTTAAAATACACCGGCCATATGAACCCTGTCCTAGTATTAATTCCTTTTCACTGATTGGTTGAAGCTCAGATGGATCAATTAAATTAACAGTGGCAAATTTGCTACTGGGTGGTCCTGATTTTGTATTCCTGTCTCTAATCTGGAATAAAGTAATAAACAGAGGAAAAGTGAAGCTGGTCAGCTTAATAAGATTCACATGCTAGATTGTGTAATAAGTGGTAATAGGACTGAGTAGTCTTCGGTCTGTAATCATATGAGTGATAACAAAATCAGACGACTGCATAGTGGAAGTACAATTTGTTATCACGAGTGTGATTACAGACTGAAACGAATGACACAAAGTCCTTTTACCAATTAATCATAAAAATTACAATTTCCAAATTAAAAAGAACACTTAAATATTGTCATTGCTCAAGGGAAACCAATTCTCTGTTTTAAAGAAAGCCCCAATTTAGGAATCTGTACACTGTTTCTATGGTGATTGAAACCAAGGTTGTGATTGATTGATTTAAACCACAACTTTGAATGTGATTGGTTGACTTAAACTACAACTTTGAATGTATTTGGCTTATTGAACTGTCCAACAACAACTTGGCAAGTAAATTAGTGGAAAATAGGAGTTTTTAAAACTAATCACAATCGAGGAAATTGTAATTCCTATGTTAATAGATTTATTGATAAACTTTATCCCTTTCATATAATACAAACAGAACTTTCCAAGATTCCCTGACTATTAAGGTACTGACCTATCCATGATAAAAATAAAATTTCCCTGATGAAATGGATACAAAATGTCCAGTCTCCTCTTCTTCATTAAAACATTGCTGAGATCATCTGAAATATTTCTTCCAGCATGGTATGAAACTCAGTGGTGTATAAACTTTAATTTCCCTGACTTTTCCCTGACCTTGAAATTTCTATCCCTGGCCATTTTTTGATCCGTGGTAACCTTGGTAGGGCAAGATCAACACTACATGGCAAGATGGAAGGGAAAATGCTCAAAGCTCAATGACTGACCTTTTCAGACGAAAGTTTAGCCTGTCTGCTTGGCAAACAGAAATGAATGAATTCCCGCTAAATCATTTCAGAATGAGGCAATTTCGGATTCCTTGCCTTATTTTACGAAAATGATTGTAGTTTTTTTTTCATTTCATCATAAAAAGGAGAAGAATTTTGAGGGCTACACTCTCCCCCTCCCCTATGAGTTAACGTTGAAGTCAACCCCAGGACGTTTTGTACAATGCAAGACAATGCTAGTTTGATTACGTTCAGGGTCAGTTCGGTGATATCGTTTTTTGTAACCAACTGCTCATTTTCTGATATCTATTTTATTCTATTTTGACGCTAACCGAGTACCTACCTTGGTTTTGTCCAGGGTCTTTTCATTCTGTTCGACTAATGCTTTCCATTTGCTATAATACATTCGCGCCAAGAATATGCATCTCTTTCCTTTTGTGTTCTCATTTCTCTGTTCTCCTTTCCTAGCTGTCCTTGACAATCGTTCACGTTTCCTCCTTTGATTTCGCATGCTGGGTTTTTTTTCGATTGTACTTTCCCGAGATCGTCGTGGCATGATTACTTTGCCAAGCACGCGCCAAGCGCGCGCTTTTTGTTGGCGATCGTCTTCGGTACTCGATTCCTGTGGCTGAGTTTGTGCCCGCGTTTCCATACTGATATAATGTTGTAGAAAATTCTAGTGGACAGCGGCCTATCTCAACGCGATAAAACGATAAAAATTAACCGGAAAGCTTTGTTCGCAGTGAATGTACAACTACGAAGAATTAATGTGGATGAAACAGGGTACAAGGTTTATGCAAGGCAGACTGTCAACAAGCTCTTGGCATGGAAAATGGTGCAATCGCTGATGCACAAATCACAGCCTATTCCATCTGGGACGATAACCATGCTGCGTCTCAAGCCAGACTGGACTTTAAAGCAATTGCGAAATCTGGAGCTTGGTCAGCTAAGAGAAACGATAATCAGCAATGGCTTCAGGTGGATCTAGGTAGTCAGTACGCCAAAGTTACGCGTGTAGGAACACAGGGGAGGGATGATGATAGCCAGTGGGTAATCAAATACAAGCTGCAGTATGGTAATGATGAAGCCAAACTTCAGTTTTATAAGGGAAAAGGAAAAAATATAGATAAGGTAAAGAAATTTAATGTATTGAAATAGTTCTCTTTAATTTACGAAATAATCTGGTGGCTTACCTGTTGGTTTTCCTCCTTACATATTCCAATATTCTTTCGTTATTACTTACTTCAGAATTCCGCTTTAGTTCCCTAAGGAAAACCACACAAATAATAGAAATGCAATGTAACTCAAAATTATATGAATAAAGTCAAGGTTTCATTTCATAGACAGCATAAAAATCAAAGATGACAAAACTTGGAGACAGATATCGGGGAAACAAAAATCTTTCATATGTTTAAATGACCTCCTACAATGTAGCTGACTCAAAAGTGTGTTTAGAGGAACATATTATATCCTTGGGTTATTAACATTTTTCCAATTCTCTCTCCTAGGAGTTTGATGGTAACTCAGATAGAAGCACTATAGTTTTTCATGAGCTAGAGCCACCCATCAAAGCACGCTTCGTCCGCTTTCGACCTCAAGTTTGGTTTGACCACATTTCAATGAGGATAGAGCTTTACGGCTGTCGAGGTAACGGAGTGGAGGACAAGGTTGCTGACTATTAAACAAAACAATTCATTCGACATGCATCATGCTGTCGATAAATGAAACCCAGTATTGATAATCAACCCGCCTTCGTCGTGTTATTATGGAGTAGAAAGCTATGCGCATTGATTTCACTCACTATTGAGATACAATCGACTTTGTGCAATTGTGCATGTACAATTTAATCATATACCCTGATCTCCTGAAAATAATAATTTTAACTTTTGCTCAAATATTTCGTTAAACCTTTAGAGTGTCAGGAGCCCCTCGGTTTGGGAAATAGCTCAATAACAGACGGGCAGTTAAGTTCTTCTTCTCAACTGGACGATGCTCATGCCGCCATGCAGGGAAGACTTAATTCTAAAGCAACCGGAGGTTTAGGAGGATCTTGGTCAGCTGGTAATAACAATTCGAGTCAATGGCTTCAGATCGACCTTCTCGATCAAAGTAATAATGTGACCCGTGTGGCTACTCAAGGAAGACATGATGCTAGCCAGTGGGTAACGAAGTACAGACTACAATACAGTGAAGATGGTAAAATCTTCCACTTTTATCGGGAACCAGGAGATACAGCAGGGAAGGTGATTAGATTTGTTTGCTTGTTTTTTTTTTCTTTTAGAAAAAGGATAAAAAAAATTTTTAAAAAATGTGTATTTTTTACTTATCTTGCCTTTACACTTGCAAGGGAGAGGTACAATCTTCATGGCACCACCTTATACACAATTAACCCTGTAGCATTGGGCGGATTTTTTATTCTACTTCCTATTTCAGGTTTTTTATGGAAACAAAGACCAGAATTCAATTGTTTATAATGACCTTCACCCACCCATCACAGCACGTTTTATCCGCTTTCGACCAGTGTCTTGGTATCACCATATGTCTATGCGAGTAGAGCTGTATGGCTGTCAAGGTACTTAAATAATAACATTATAAACCTACTACTTCTACTACCACTATTACTACATTTACTACTACTAGTACTACTACCACTTCTACTACTTTGACTCAACTACTACTTATACCACCACTATTACTATTACTATTACTACTCCTACTACTATAACAACTATTACTACTACTGCTACTACTACTTATTCTACCTCTACTACTACTACTACTTACTACTACTACTACCACTGCTACTACTACTACTACTACTACTACTTCTACTACTACTACTACTACTACTACTACTACTACTTACTACTACTACTACTACTACTACTACTACTACTACTACTACTACTACTACTACTACTACTACTACTACTACTACTACTACTATACTACTACTACTACTACTACTACTACTACTACTATACTACTACTACTACTACTACTACTACTTACTACTACTACTACTACTACTACTACTACTACTACTATTACTACTACTACTTTTACTATTACTATTACTACTACTACTGCTATGACTACTAGTACTACTACCACTACTATTACTACTACTACTATTAGCGGAGCTCGCAGCGCGCGAAGCGCATCGTAGCGTAGCCCCATAATTATACGAAATAGTAGTATTTCATCCACCCGGAACAATTTGGACGGGCGACCGTAGGACCGACCGTACAAGGTGTTACTTTTAGCATGCGCGGCCAACTATACTTCGGGCACTCTCTTAGCCATTACGTAATGGAAGGGCGAGGGAAAAGGTAATGCGCAGGCACGATTGTGCGCGGAACTTGGACACCCCATTAGTGTGCGCCAGGAAACACCGGCAGATGACAATGAAGAGTGCATACTCGAGTGTCGAGCTTTAGTTTAGCGTACGGGGGCACACGGCTAGGCATTGCACGAGGGCTTCACGTGGGCTAGTGGATGTGAAGCCGCGTAAGCAAATAATTTGCAACCCGCGTTTTGAGCGCGAAATCAAACCGGTGAGGTTGTAGTTGAATATGAATTCTCAGTATTTCGAAAATTCTAATCAACTCGCAGAGCAACAATACCGGCAGAGCTAAAGCATTTTCAACGGGAGGAAATTGTTATGATTCAAGTTTGTGGAGAGAGGGTTTTGAGTGAAAATAGGATGAAAAGAAAGAGACTGAGCGCCCAAAAAATAAACAAGAAGTAAAAGACGTAAAGGGAGTCGAGAAAAACGCGCAAGAAAGTTAGAGAGGACGCCAATACGGTTGAACTACGGTGAAAGGAAAGCGAAAGAGAACGAGAAAGACATAAGTAAAAAGGCAAATATCTAGCGAAGAGTAACGCGAGAAGGAAATACAGAGACGCTCCTTATATCAGACTGAGGAGAGGTCATCAACAAAGAGAAGCGAACTACAAAGTATCCGAGAAAGACGAGGTGGTAAGTCGTGTCTTATCTTGGTTTTCTCTAACGCTAAGGCCCAGAAAACGTTTGAAACGTTTTTTAACAATCGTCGTTTGATACTAGCTTCAGTTTCTAATTAAAATCACGTATCGGTAAAACAATGAATTTGGCCTTCATCGCCTAAAAACCCTCGGGCCAGTTCAACGCTTTAAATGTTCGTATTCTTCAAGGAATTTCTTGTCCTGTCGTTAAGAATGTTTTATACAGTCGTGGTGCTAATGGAAAAGAAGTTATCTCACGGATTTTGTTTTACCTAGACAGCTTTCAAATGATAGCGAACGGCGAGGGCAAGTTTCTAACTCTTTATCTCTTCAGTCAACTATCGCGGGATTTACTCTGTTCATTTAAAAAAATCGCACTTTGTCGAACAGGTGTTGTTTTAGCCTAAGAGCGAAGTGATAGCCTTTCCCAAAATTGAAATAAAATGAGATTGAGTCAGCGATGTCCATGTTTACACAAGGTCTGACGCGGTAATTTGATTTTGACACTATTGTCATGTGAGAACCCGTCAAATATCTGGGAATTAAATTACGGACCGCAAATATGTGGTGCGAACAAACTCACGGGTAAACTGGAATCAGTTGTACTGCTGAGTGCGTGAACTTCATTGTTCAGTCATGGTAGGTTTCAGCGCTATGTTTCCATGCTTTCTACTCGATTCGTACGAACTTCAGGAAATAATTTCAATTGTCTCACAAAACATGGAGCCACACTCTCTTCTGTCAACATCTCAAGGCGTACTTAGTGCTCGGTTTATGATGAAGATGCTTGCGATACGATATTTTTTTCCTAATGCTGGAAACTGAAGAATCGATTTCTGAAATCGATAGTCAACACATTTTGCAAGAAGCGTCTGAGCTGTGATCGTGTAATTAAACGGGGTCTTGGCGATTGGAACTCACAAGCACGCTGATAAGCACATGGTTAGCGTAAATAATTGTAGTTTACAGTTTTTGAATTCGAGAGCCGTTTTTGAGAGTCCGTTTCAGTAACCTTCTTGGAAATTTTATGTTGAATTGATTGAGGTACAATCCCGGAATTTCATAAGTGATTATGAACGGTAAATTCGTATCAGCGCCATAATTTAGGGAGGTTTTGTTCACACATTATCAGTTTACAATTCGTGAACCATTTTTGTAACCTACTTGGATGTTTTCTTTTGAATTAATTGAGTCACATTCTCGGAATTTCATCAGTAATTTACAACGATAAATCCGTAGATATAGCACAAGTGAAGCACATTTTAAACCTTCCATACGATTTTAGGAAACTATAATTAACTGACTCTCGATAAATTGACCTGTCATAACGCGTTGATTATTTCATTATTTTGTAGCCCCAAAAGCCCGGCTTATGACTGGGGAGATACTGAACTTGATATATGTGACCTCTCACGCGAAAACGTTCCTTACGGTATCCGTTCGAACGGTCGAACGCACGGTATGTGAACGGATGACAAACGGATAGAGAAACCGTTTAAAACGGATGCCATGAACGGCTGAACGGCTTCAGAAAAATTTCGAACGGTTGAAGTCGAACGGCTGAACGGCTAAAGGAAAATTTCGAACGGTTGAAGTCGAACGGCTGAACGGCTAAAGGAAAATTTCGAACGGTTTAAGTCGAATGGTTGAACGGCTAAAGGAAAATTTCGAACGGTTGAAGTCGAACGGCTGAACGGCTTCAGAAAAGTTTCGAACGGTTGAAGTCGAACGGCTGAACGGCTGAAGGAAAATTTCGACCGGCTGAACGGCTGAAGTGTTCAACGGATAAGGTCAAAGTAAACGGTTGAACGGCCGATCAAAATCATTCGAACGAAATGACAGTAATTAAGATAAACGCGACACGCGCTGCTTAGATCTGAAAACTGATAGAAAACCTAGAATAAATCTAATCCTGTAGAAACAAAAGCCGGTAATAGTCTGCGTTCTCTTTTAAAATAATTGTCATGCAACCATTTCCAGAATTCCTAATGTAACGCCATTAATTGACTTTGTAAACATCTCGTTTCCGAACACAGGCGACGCTTTTCCCACCATGCATCTTCAGAACTAACAGGCACAATTTATAGTGACAATTTTTACGATGTGCGGAGTAATTTTCGCTACCCTAAGTGCAAGCAATTTTTTTAAGTTAACAAAGAAGCGGGTGCCATTATTTTTGTCCGCTGCGTTGATGTGAGTGTGTACAATAAAAGCGAATCAGCGAGGCATGCGGATCGAAATTCTACAGTTTTTATTGGACAAATGGAGAGTAATTGTTTTCAACTTAGCATATGAATAACACACACGCTTTGTGTTTGCATTAGTAATGAGTGGATTGACATCTTGCCGACGGTACGGTGTATTCCCTCAGGAGATTCCATTTTGATTTTAGTCAAAAGCGCTTGATATTTGCATACTGTCAAACGTCAAAACATTTTCGGTAAACTAGTTGAATAAACTTGATCTTGAATAAAAAATGTGTATCGATAATCGAATGTTAGGTAACTAAAGATGATGGAGTAGTAGAAAAAGAACCGTGACTATTCATGAAGGCATTTGTAAACAATGCTTATATTTACAAAGTTCGTGTTGAATGTTGTTACTGTTATTCTCCCACGCGATGGTACTGTTGGTTTGGCAAGCATGCTCTAAACAAAGCAGAGTTTAATTCCTTGCAGAGGGGAAACACGCTATATTAGGAACCTTCAAGTGTTTACCAAACTAACTTTAGTCTGTCCGATGTACTCTTGACTGATCGCAGTGCGAACACTATTAACTTTGACAGGATCACGGCTCGAAACATCCCTTCCAAAGGAATTGTAAGCTACGGTTTCAAAACATATCGCCAGCCGTTCGCCACGAACATCCAGTTCGAACGGCTCACAACTTTTTTGAAACGTATAGCTCCAGCCTTCGAACGGCTCCTAATTGTTTTTGATCGGATAGCTCAAGCCGTTCGAACGGCATCCCATCCCGTTGGAACGGCTGATGAACGGCTTACGAACGGCTATCCGTTTCAAAACGGCAAACCGTAAGGAACGTTTTCGCGTGAGAGGTCACATATTTGTTACACGAGGCACCCTAGAAGGAGGAAGGTTAGAATAAAATGATTACTTTTATATTGCACCCGGTTTACATAATTTGTAGATAATTGCTTAAAAAATACCTATTCTCTTTTCATCCATGTAAAGAGATATTACACATTTCTTAAACTAAACTCTGAATCATGAATTTAACTTTATTTCAGTGAGTTTGAAACTTCATTGTTCATAAGAACACTTTACTGGAGTATGTTACATTTATTTGCAGTCTTTCTGGTACATGTGATTACATAACCCTTTAACTGTCAAGATTTTATTAGTAATTCTCTTTACTGTCTGCCATACAATTTATGTGATGTTTGGTTAGAGAATTTGGAATTGGATCAACCAATTATCTTCTAATTTATATTTTTCTTTATTGTCATTACTCGCCTGCTTGATATTGTACTGATTGTATTGATAGTGTAAGGAGAAATTCTGTCAAGGTTAATAGTGAGACTAAAACAGTTAAAATGTGGGATTTCATTATATTGTAATGATAATTTACAATTTCCTTATGCTTTCAAATGTAACAAAAAAAAATGTGATGAGAATCAGATGTTATGAAATAATGGAAAAACCTGTTGCTGGTAGCTTATGTCTTACGTGTTTAAATGTTCACGGGAAATGCTCTTCTTTGAAAGTGAGGATACAGAAGTTTTTGAAGTTGGTAGAAATAAGCTGTTTGCAAGAAATGAAAAGCAAACTGACAATCATACCTTAATGCTTGACATGCTTCACTCAGACATGTCAGTTGTGTGTACCTACCATAATGATTGTAGAGGTGTCTTTCATGAAAAAAATTTTTTGGTGTGGCTGTTGTTCTTTGTTGATCTTGGTAGCCAAAAAAAGCTGGTAAAGGCATTGAACTTCATTTTTATATACATGAGGCATCCTCCAAGGTGGAAGAGTAGAAGACCATAGACTGATGTTTACCTGGCACTTACATTTACCACAATTATATGTTCAAGCAATACTCTTCATATATAAAACCAATTACATGATGTCTTTCACCCATTACACCCTAATATCAGCATGCATATTCTCCATGCTGTTCTCTATACATTTCCTGATGTGCTGGGAAGGAGAATTTGTTTAACAATCAAGAAGTTCTTCAAAAGATTAACATTTCCTTTATTCTCATGACCTTAATGCTTGATTTCGGGATGATATTGAAAGGAGAAATTAGACACTAGTCACTCTCTGGAATTAAAGTGTTAATAACTGTAAACATTTTATGTGCTCCTTGCATTTGTTGGCAACAATGGTTAAGATTATTAGAAAAGCAAACAGATGAACAGAAGACAATGAAATGAGGGAAACTGTAAACCTTACCCTATGGTAGAAGAAATGATCACAGAATACTTAAGAAAGGAAACTTGAATTGTGCTAGCCAATTTCCTCTATTGCCCTTCATGTTTTTGATCAAATAAAATTTAATAAGTTGTAGGTTTTGCTTACAATGTGTTAAATCACCAGTGTGGACTTGCTGGTAAAAGATGGATACTAAAAATAGATGACCATAGGTAAAAGTACACATCTTAAAAAAAAAAATCTCACTAAAGTGGTGGCATGATTGATTTGTGATATTTAGAATGACAGAAGCAGGAAAAACACATAGAGCTTTTTCCTATTCACTAGTAAGTTTATTAGATTTCAGATTCTACATTCAAACTGTGTGAGATTAAATTTATCTATATCATGCTTCATCATAGTTTTTTTACATGGAAAGGTTATTGTTATTGTAGCTTCACAGATGTTTTCATCGCTGTTGCAACTCACCAGTCTGTAACATAACAAAGTTTCATGTAACATAGAATGTCTCAAGAATTTTCTATCTTTCTCTCCAACACTATTTATTTTGGAGCACTATTAACCCTTTACAACCTAACATCAGTATGTATATTCTCCATACTGTTCTAAATACATTTCGTTATGTGCTGGCAGGGAGAATTTGTTTAACAATCAAGAGGTTCTTTAGTTTATTATTATTGCCTTTATTCTCATAATCTTAATGTTTGATTCAGGGGGGGTATTGAAAGGGGAAATTAGATGCTAGTCACTATCAGGAATTAAAGTGTTAAAGGAAGCAGGTTATTAAAAAAATTATAACTTTGATTCAAGCAAGTATTTGAATATGTGAGTAACATTTGATGTTTTCACATGTAACAGGATGATCAAGCTGAAGATGGCGTCAAAAAGGAGTGAACTCGACTGTAACAAATAGGTCACTACTTTTGAAACTTGTGCACATGGTAAATACACCTTGGCTTGCAATTCTGATGATTACAGTTTGCTGAGGTAATTGAAATGTCAGTCCCCAAGCAGGAACCACCCACATGACCTGTACAGTCATAGGCTATGAAAGAACTTTAGAAAAATGCCTTTGCGTCAGTGGAACTGTTAAAATGCATAGGATTTGATGACTATAATGTATATCTCTTAGCTTTTAAACTTTCAACTTTGTTTTAATTGTAATTGTTTACCATATTTATTTATTTCTACCTCAAGCCCTCAAAAGTTGAAGCAGGTTATCTGACTGTCTTTGTTTGGAATGTATGATAATATAATTTTGCTGTGTAAGTTGCCACATTGTAACATGTAATATGTTTATTTGAATTGCATTAAATACTCTTGCTCAAGCTTTCCTTAATGCATGGTGTTTCTTACCAATACTCATACCTAAGCTTAACATTTATATAAGGAATTGGTCACAAGATATGTGAGTTTTAAAGGGTGGGAAACTGGAAAAGCAAAGGTCCCCCTTTAGTTAGGACTGAAATTAAAGTGGGCTCTGCTATTATAATTCATGTTTTTACTTTGACCTTCATGAAAGTTAAATTTATTGGCATCTGCGTAATGCACAAAGCAAGAATATAGATGACTTAGCTTAATAGGTTATAAAATTGAAATAGGAAAGTTGTGCAAACCATATCTTGCCTTTTATCCTTCTCTGGATATTTACTCAAATAACATAGTCACTATCAGTCTCTCACACTCTCACTTTCCACTGAGCTTGTGGAAAGATGATAACCTCAGTATTTTTTTAAATGAATGAAGGAAAGCCTGCCCTCTTACCACAGATAGTTGTTTTGTGCATCATCCATACATACGTAGTCTTATTTGTACACGAAGTTGATTGTTCTAAGTAGGCTAACCTATCAAATTAGTTGTGAAAAATTTTTTGTTTGAATTAATTTTACCTGACAAACTTAAACTGTATAAATAGAAACTTGAAATTTATTTCTTCTCCTTTTGAGGTGTGCATCAAAATTTTGGAAGTCATGGCAGGCTCGACCTACAGGTTTATAAGAAATCTACATGTGTGTGTGTCTTCAACATAAAAAACCAGTAAAAAGGTTGCTTAGCTTTTTTCATTAATACATATTTCTTTTTCTAAGAATCTTGTTTATTTGGCCTATGCTGAGTTCTAATTTTTCAAAAACAATTTACATTCTTTTGAATATTCTTAGATCTCCTAGTATCAGTTAATATTCATGTAATTAAAATAATTACATCAAGTCTTGCAGATGTTTGGTACATTTTTCCATTGATCCTACTGACATTTCATCATGTGTAGGGATTGGTATAGGCTATAAAAGTGTAGTTAAATTAAATATTTGTGCACAGCCTATGCATCAAATATTTTTAATAAAAGATTGTATCCTTCTTAAAACTAGTTTATCAGAATAAGAATGAGTCACCAGGCACAACTATGGCTTTCATGATGATAGTTTCCAAGTTTGAAAAAAGTCACTGCCTACTAAAATCCTCTGTTCCTTTACCTTGACAGCCCAACCTCGTCAAAACATTGGCAACAGGAATGATTAGCTAATTAACAATACAGACAAGAGAGCCTATTCCCACATACACGTTCCTCAATCCTGTTTGCTTACTATGGACACAACATTTCAAACATGATGTATGTTTCCCTGACTAATTATTTTGTAATGGTGTTCACAAATTGTGGAAATTAGTTGGGTTGAAATATAATACAACAACCTGCTAGTAGATAGTCAAATGAATACTTTTTACATATCAATAAAATTTGTGTTTCATGTTAACATGTTGCAATAACTCTACCTTCAGTAAATTCAACTATATGCAAACATGAGAAAATGCCGTCAAAAAATTTTCAACCCATTTAATAAAGCCAATAACAACATCAACTCAGTTTTAAAACTTAAGATAAAACTTGATTGATGTTTGCAATTGATTACTGTGATGTAAAAATGAAATCTAGGTATTATCTCAAGTTTTCCATTAATGTCTCCATGATCGAATCCCAAGTCTCTCTTCGTCATCGAGTTTTAATCACGACATTTTAGCTTTAACTTGTCTTCTTTTAAAGCAAACTTTTGCAGTGCAAGAAACATGTTAGAAAAAATTTCGTTCTTCATCATTAGCTAGAGTTGCTAAGATCATAGGAAGTTGGCTTAAAGAAACCTACATTGCAAGTAGTTACATCAGAGGTTACCGAATCAAATAACAGAAAGAATCTCTAAAGAGACGCCGTGTGTTTCCCGCCAGAGGATAATCATGAAACAAGTAGTCAAACCTGGAAACTTCAAGAGAAGATAAAAGAGAAGCCCATACGATTCTGGCGTCTTGATTTACTAATTCACTGTTATCACGTGTATACTCTTCAATCGACCGGTGATGTCAAGACTCGAAGTAGTTTACCGTCGTTTCTTTCAGTTTTGGCTCATTTTCCTGAACCAAAATTATCAGTCACGCTCAAAGGAATATAATTTCAACTGATGCTCACATCGCACACTTCCTCGGACGAAGAAAAGATTCTCTTTCTTCGAAAATTTGCTCATCACATTAGGAATAACAACGAGTTGTAAGAACGTCGTCCCCAGGTTCCAGACCTCGACAATTCTTCCCTTCCCTCTCCACCCCCCGAACTAGTCTCTTGATCCCCTTGAAGAAACTCTTCTACGGCCAGTGCTGAAGAGTTTTATTACAGTTTTTTTTATGAGAGGCTACAAAACAAACTAACAAGAGCTCCGCTTTTAGGCTTGGCTAAATTCATATATTACTACTACTATTACTACTACTACTACTACTACTAGCACTGCTACTACTACTACTACTACTACTACTACTACTACTACTACTACTACTACTGCTACTGCTACTGCTACTGCTACTGCTACTGCTACTGCTACTGCTGCTACTGCTACTGCTACTGCTACTGCTACTGCTACTGCTACTGCTACTGCTACTGCTACTGCTACTGCTACTGCTGCTGCTGCTGCTGCTGCTACTGCTACTGCTACTACTACTTCTACTACTTCTACTACTGCTACTTCAATTACTTCTACTACTGCTACCTCTGCGACTTTTTTTTTCCTTACTGCTACTACTGCTCCTACTACAACAACTACTACTACTATTAGTAAACCTTCCTCTTTAACTTTTGTTAGATGATCGTCCGTGCGAGACATCAGTGGAGTCGTGCGGATGGAACATTGCGCGGGGTTGGAAAAGAATGAAATACAGAGATCTTGACAATATAGGTAGTGACGCCGATGATGAAGGTTGGTTGTTTTGGCACATTGTGTCATTCATTGTTTTTTTTTTGCCCCGACCTCTCTCACCTTTTTTTGTCCCTTTCGGTCTGTTTTACCGACTTAACCCCTGGAACAAGCTTAATAGCCTCTTACAGAGATTGACGACTGAAGGAAGGTGCATTTTTAATGTTATATTTCTGCTTTAGGGATTATCAGCGATCAAAACTACGAGATCCACCTCCCCGACAGTAGCCGTGGCTATGTCTCATTCTCAGACATTCGACAGGCGAAAGGGGGATCCACCATCTGCTTTTGGTTAAAGACGTCAAATGTTGGTTTCTTTATCGAATATAGAACTGAGGCATCGGGAGATCAAAATGAAACGCTAATATTTGGGCTCTATTGTGGTAACAACACCTTTGATATTCTATTGGGAAGCTATAGAAGGTATCGAAAAGTTTTTTTTTCTGCTATATTTTCTGCTTTATTTTTGAAAATGTGTTATTAAGTCATGACTTGAACCTGGGTTACGCAAAAAATACTACTTAATCTTAAGATGAAAATATGAAATAGCCAGAGCTGAAGCTTTTTCTGGGATCCATATATATGACTCCCACCATTCGGGCGTGTGTGGATGGGTTACTGGGCGTTTTCCAAGATCACAGCATTCACGGTTAGCTTACCAGAGTATTTGCAGAGAAATTTCGAACAGTCATGTTACCCTTCGAAATTTCAAACAGGGGAACTTATGATTTTTAATTCAACGATGGTAGAGATATGAATCATTTTGGAAAAGAAAAAAGGTAACTTTTGAGCTCGATTGTGAAGAAGAGACAGATAGAGTTTGCCTTGTTATGAACGTTTCCTTCCATTCTTGGTTCAAAGCTTGTGAAAAGATCTATAACGTCTTTCTGTATACATTGTTTTTTTTTCTTAAAAGATATTTCTGCTTCAATTAGAACTCTTTTTTTCATTACTTTTCATACACAGTCAATATTTAATGGGCGTGACAGATGGTTCTTGGCACTACGTGTGTGTGCTATTGGATGGCAACATCGGACTACTAGCTGTATTCAAAGATGGTCACAGGAATTTTAAGGAAGCTCATAGGAGAAGACCCAATTTTGAATTTTGGACGGCTGGTAATAACAGGAAAAGAAATTATTCTCACAGATGGACAACAACCAAAAAACAAAAACCAAAGAAAAAGCGAAAAAAAATTAAATATTTCAAGTTGATTGGGAAGGCGTTAGATATAAAGCATATTCTGATGCATATTACACGTTCTTGAGCAGAAGCCAAGTGGCAACAGCCTGGAAGGTGGAGTGTGTTGGACTGTATCTGTTTGATTACATTCTTTTGGGATAATAGGAAATATAATAGGACGAGACCCTATTCGATTTAGGCGTTTGGTAGCGATGTATTTCAAGTATGTCACTTTGTTAATTGAAAAAATGTAGATATTTTATCAAAAACCTGTAACGGAAGGTAGCCAGCAATAATTATGTAATTATGGCAGAGAAAAAATGTTAAATTATTTTGAGCTACCATATAAAATATATTCAAAGCAATTTGTGTTTCGAATACCTACAGGAACCATGACAGTTGGCTTCAGGAAAACGAACGACAGTGACTCAGCTGTTCTTGGCAAACTGAGTGGCCTCAATATATGGAGCTACCCTGTCCCAATAAAAGAGATTCTGCGCATGTCATATGGCTGTGGAACTGAAGCAGGAGACTCCAAATCCTGGGAAACAGTCAGGGATAAGATAACTGGAGAAGTTGAGGTTAAAGACTCCAGAACATGCAAGGACAGAAAAGGCAAGTGTTCTGTTATGAGCAGAAATTATCTGTAAAGCTTAATTCTACCTTGTAATTAATAGGATGCTGTTAATGCTGTTAAATAAGTAAGGTATGTCTTTTCGTTATGAAAATGGTATGGTTTCGTAGAAAAGGTTGTGGTTATTCATCGTAATAAAAAATAACAATAAAAGCTAAGTTTTTTCGTTTGTCTCGCGATGAACTCACGTGTGAAGTAGATCGCGACGTTTCGACTGCATACTGCCAGTCTTCTTCAGGCAATGAGGTCGACTGGTCATGCGTGATCTTATAAAGCATGATGCTCTACTGTGATTAGTTGTTTTTTCAACAGCTCTGATTGGTGCATTTCGATCCTTGCTGTTCACTCAGTGATTTGCTCCCTCGGCGGTGAACATCGTGAGACAAACGAAAATACTTAGCTTTTATTGAAAATGGTATGCTTTCAAACTTGTTTGTTTTCTCGTGGAAGCAGAAGAGAGATTCTAAGAAAAGTAAAGACAGAAGTTTTAAAAGTAGACACGTGTTGAGTCACATAACAAACTTTAATTTTGATAATGCTGACAGTACGCCCCAGGCTTCCTTTTTCCATATTTGGGTGGGCAAATAGTATCAACATATAGTATCGTGTCACATAGTATCGTGCATAAATGTCGAAATACGGCGGGACAATTTTTACAGAGTTTGCGTACATCCAAGGCTAAGAAAATTGAAGAATGTGGCTACCTCTACTAAGCGACTTTCGTTTAGAGGTTTTCATTATTTTGGCAATCGTTCGGCGAGATCATAGCTCTTGGTCTGTGATCAAACTTATGGTTACTGATGAATGAATGTTATAAAGTTCTTTTTGCTAATAGAACTGAACTCAATATGTTCTCAGTTGGCAGACTTGTGGCAGATGGCATTACGGCCCACGTCAATCAAAGTGCTCTTTTTATGAGTCCTCTTTACGATGCGTCGCTTGATGGCAAGAGTCGATGTCTACGGTTTCGTTACATGCTGCAAGGACCTGGGGAGAAAGCATTGACAGTTTACCGGAAGGCAAAAACTTCTCGTGAAATACCTATTTGGATCTCAAAAGGCGTCACCCGGGGGGACTGGGTTTATGGTCAGGTTCAGCTCAGCTCCATGTCAGACTTTCAGGTATAGAATTGTGCTTCTTCACCTTTTCTTCGATTTGCTCAAACGAAGCTGACCTACTTATTCTTTGCTTTCATCGATTGGACAAAACCGTCAGCTTTTCGATGTTAGTACAATAAGTTACATGAAAACAAGCCGTCCATAAAACTGTGCGGACATATCGTTTACATTTGGTGGAGACTTTTTCTGAGTTGCCACGCGAACCTTAATTTATCATACTTATCCCATCCCCGCACCACCAACATCGCAAGCGCACTAATAAAGCCTTCAGGCACTAGAAACTGCGATGAGATTAGTAATTAATTGTAGAAATTGTTTCATTACCGAGAAAGGTGCTTATAAAAGCGGAAATGGAGAGGAGAGAAGACTTAATAGCGTTGACAGGGCTGTACATCGACGAGGGAATAAATTGCACAGTGAAGCCACTGTCGGCGAAAAAAGGTGGAGTATAACAATGTGATGAGATAGAAGGGGGAAGAATTTTTTTGAAATGAAATTACGTAAGGGCGTCATTGCCACTAAACTTTGAGATACTTGTGTTTTCGAAGCAATTGAAATTGTTATCGCGCAACTCTAGGACGATGCTGCCGCTGTCATTAGCGCTCATGAGGCACTGTACATGTACTTCGTGTCTAATGATAGTGACACCGGTCAGGTTGTAAAGGCAGACACTTCTTAAAATTTTTGCCTTCATCTGTAGTTTCTCTTTCAGCTTGCAGCGAGAACTTAACCAACGAAATAGGATATTTCTTCTCTCCTTCATATCCCGGAAATCTTCCGGATGATACTGTTTGCAAATGGCACATCACCGTCCAGAAAAACCACATCATTCGTTTGGAATTTCAAGAGTTTTTACTCGCGAACCACCCCAGATGCGAGACGTGTTTCCTTCAAATCTTTGATGGACGTGATTTATCTGCGACCGCGATAGGAAAATTTTGCGGCTATATGCATCCTCCGGTTGTCATTTCCTCATCAAATCATTTCACAATTGTTCTCCGCTGTATTGAGGGCTTGCGAATGACAAGATTCAAGGCCTTTTATCATTCTATTAGAAGTATGTTACATCTCAATAATTTTAAATTTTGAAAATATATCGACCTGTTTTATATGCAAAAGCCTCCGTGAAATTGAATTAAAAGTTCTAGAATTAAAAGATAAAAATCCAATGGATGACCAAATCAATGCAACTTGAGGTTGAAGTAGGCTTAATTGGTCTACGGGTCACTTTCCTAAACATGAGGTGGAGATGTTTTTCGGTGAAATATGAAACTTTGTCTATTAGCTCGCGGCAGAGAGTTTGATGAGGAGCAGTATTCAATCATTCCTCCAAACAAAGGTAAAATGCCAACTGAAATGCGTAGTGGAGTACCTTTGACGATGTTTGATTTTTCTCCCACTTCTCTGCATTAGAATTAATGGTGCTAAATTGAGGAAACCGTATGTCAAAATCTGTGCTTGTTTGTGATAGATTTCGGAGTTTGAGATTCCACCTGGGGGAAAAAAGTTTTGAACCGCAAAAGGAAGGATAATATGAATGACTACGACAAAGCCATTAGGGCTAATCGTAATTAATGCCTTAATTGTAAATTAGTGGCTATATCTAAGTTTTCCATTTTTCAGCTCAAGACTGGGAAGGATCGTCTTGCTCACTTCATCGAGGTAATGGATAAACTGACTGTTTGAAATAATTTTTTCCAGTTTTAATGCAAATGATGAAAGGGTGGAAAAATAATGGTAGATACTAACTGAATGTCGAAAATCGTTTTTAGAGTGTCCATCAAGCTGCGAGTGTAAGGAGTTTGGTGAAGTATACGACAAGAGGATTCTGGTTATTGGAGAAAAGTTGCTGGCTATACCGAGTAATCTTCCCTCAAATACTGGAGCAGTGTATGTTTAACCATTTCCCTGCTTATCATCATTATCACTACTCATTATGCTTACAATCACCAAGTCTTTCTGCCTACATACACTGAACAAAATAAAGCGATTTGGCATGATGTTTACGGCAACCGTCAAACGGCAAAAAGGAATATTGAACTCATTAGCGCCTTTTTCCAGCCGTTTGCATTTTCACCGTACGAAATAACGTGTCACTAATAATATCATATTTACCAGGGTTTTTCGTCAAAATCGGATCTCGCAACTTCACGAGAAGGAGTTTTCAGACCTTACAATACTCGAGTATATGTGAGTTGAACGCCTTATTCTCTGTTTTTATTAGTGGTAGTGTTAGGTTTTGCTTGACATGCGAAAACTTTAAAGATGTCAAATAAATGTATGTATATTTAACCAACTCTCTGATTCCTCACGCTATCCTTGGGTAAGCTAAGACAAAAATAATGTATTTTACAGTACACAATACGTGTCCATGAAATTTATTCTGCAAGTATGGAGAGCACAATTAGAATAGGACTCTCCAGGTTTCTGGCTGCATTCGATATCTTGAAAGATCATCGATAACGAGTTGAATGATACTCCTCGAAAAACTATACATTTTAGAGATATCAAGTTAATAAGTCAAGTGTTCTCTTTGAAACAGTGACCTTAGCTTCAATAATCTGCTCCACTTAGATGAAGAATGTTTTCACAACCTATCTTCTGTTACTACACTGTGAGTATTGGATGGCGATTATAGATTAATAAATATCAATTAGATCATTCCAGAGAACCTCAACAGTATATTTGCTGGCGAACTTGTCATCTTTCTCACCTCAAATGTTATCAGGGCCGATAGGGACATTCCTCCCCATTGCTTCATTCGAACCATCATCCTGAAGGCATCTCAAACGACCAGATCAGGCTGGTGTGGTTGCTTGTGTGACTAGGAGAAATGGATAGCCAGGGTAACGTAGTAAGCGTTTGGGAGAGGGCTGACGACGACATCTTCTCAATGCATCCGTCTCGCATTATTGCTTAGATTTGTTGAAAGGAACTGTTAGAATCGTACTCAAAGGCTTTCTTGTGTTCTCTGCAGGAGACTGAATTCTAACTTTCTTCGAATTCTTCCTATCGGAGCACTCAGCGAGCTCCCTAATCTAAAAGTCCTGTGAGTATCTCCAAATATAATCTCATTCTTTCACATTGCATAACATCATGAAACGACGATCGACAAGATCTTCATGGACTGAACTCAAGAAAATGTCTATTTTATTTCAGTGACTTAGGAAGCAACCTTCTTAGCAGTATCAGAAGTGGGGTGTTTGATGCATTGTCAAATTTGAATATTTTGTAAGTACTCCTTTTCAGTAACATTTGAAAGCTGACAAAGATTGAAAACTTTCAAAGCATTATTTCGCCTTTGTTTTTAGGGGTTTACGCGCAAACCAACTGACGAATTTGCAGCATGGCGTTTTTGGCAACAAAAGCAACATGACTCATTTGTAAGTAAAAGGATCTCTTTTGGTCTAAGTCAATCGCCAAAGTCATACCATTGCTATTCAAAACAAACCGAAGGGTTAGGGTGAGGAGTTAAGTTACGCAGTGAAGACATATGTCTAACCTAATGCTTTATAAGACATATTCGAAATGTAATAATGGATTTCTAATTTTTATAAGGTACCTTCAGGAAAACAAGCTGACAGCATTGCCAAATGGCTTGTTCAAAGATCTCTCCAAGTTGGAAGTCTTGTGAGTGCTGAGATGGGCAAATTAATGTCTTCTCAAATTACTTAATCTGCTTTAAAGGGAAAATTTGATAACTTCTTGTTCAAAACATGATAGTTTTCTTAATTGAATTTTGATTGTGCTCATTGTTTAAAGTAGGCTGAAAAGTGACATTGAGATACACGTGAAGAGGGTGTAAATTCGCCTATAAATCGTGTTGAGATTTTGTTTAACGTCTCTCATTCGACAGAAATCTAAGCAGCAACGAGCTGAAAACAGTGACAAAGGAAACGTTTCAAGGTCTCAGTGCACTGAAATATTTGTAAGTAGTTGGAATTTTCAGCCTTGAGGGAGTCTCTCTGTGGTGATTTGTCTACGCTGAAGTACGGTGTAGGTGTAATGTCCGTAAAATAAATGAGGTCAGTGGTAAAAGAAAAATAAGTTACAATGCTCAATCAGTCTGAGATTGAACCAAAGGACGTATTAGCTACCAAACGCTTTTACTTTACTTTACCCTTGTTCGTCAGCTTAAGTGTGGACAATTCGTTTTCCAAATAGCTTAAGACCATTCTTTGTGCAGTGATTAAGTATTACTCTTCTCTATTTCATCAAGCCTGTGTGCAGATATTCAACTTCAAATAAAAACTTTTGAACAGGTCAATCAAGTGTTCTTCTTGCTTGATAAAAACAGGTACTTGGACAACAATAGATTAGCTAACGTACCTACAGATGCATTCAACGAGCTGACTAGCCTCAAGTATCTGTGAGTATTTTACAATTGATATATTAATAGCTACGTTTTTTTGTCTATCTAAATTGGATACTTCATAATGATGTAACCTGTCAGTCGACAAAATATGTGTATATAGATTATTCCACGTATCATTTCTTATTTGATTGATGGCATTGTAGTGCAGATGTAAAGTGTTTTCGTCTTGAAAAAATTCCAACAGGAAACTAGATCGTTTCATCCTTTGTTGTTACGCTGAGAAATCCGTGGAAGGAATTACTTGTGATTCTCCTACTGATGAGTTCTCCAGCTGTGACGACCTGATGAAGAACAAAACGCTTCAGATTTGCATTTGGATTCTTGGGATCCTCGCCTTCCTCGGCAACCTTCTTGTCATAATATGGCGAATAATTGATAAAGAAGAGAACAGGGTTCATTCATTCTTGCTAACAAATCTTGCTGTAGCCGACATGTTTATGGGTGTCTATCTTTTGACAATTGCAATTGTGGACGCGAGATGGCAGGATGAATATTTTAAGCATGACACAAAATGGAGGGCTGGTATAGGCTGTCAAGTTATTGGAGTCCTATCCATGCTCTCAAGCGAGGTATCAGTGCTGATTTTAACAGTCATCACCATCGACAGATTTATTTGCATCATCTTCCCTTTCAAGTTCAAGCGTCTTACCTACAAGTCTGCCGTATTCACCTGCGCAGCCGTGTGGATACTTGGTGTAGTCATCTCCGTGATACCAATCACCGGAATAGACTATTTTTACGATAAAAGTGGTGATTTCGGTTTTTACAGTCGCTCAGCTGTTTGCCTTCCTCTTCAGTTATCCGAAGGAACCCCTGCCGGCTGGGAATATTCCGCCTCTTTTTTCATCGGTTTAAACTTCGTTTCGTTCACGTTTATCTTGGTGGCGTACATCTTAATGTTTTGGACGGTCAAGCGCTCTGCCCGCGCTGTTCGATCAACGAGTTTGAACAAAGAATCTGCAATGGCTAAGAGACTTATTTTCATTGTGATGACCGACTTCTGCTGCTGGATGCCTATAATAATTATCAGCATTTTGTCCCTGACAGGAAATTTCTACGATCCGGACAAAATTGCCTTCGTGTGGATCGCAGTGTTTGTTCTTCCGCTCAACTCTTCCCTTAATCCAATCCTGTATACATTTTCGACAGAGAGAACGAAACAAAGCTTAGCCAGAAAGAGGAAAAATATTACCGGCATGGTTATGAAGTCTTTGAATAGTCGCGCTGGAGGTGGGTCCAAAAATGACAAGATTCACTTTTTTATATTCAATTGTTGTTACATTTTCCATGGACTTAGTAGGCGATGATTTCTTTGAAAAAATGCACTTTTCTTTTTGCATCTTCATGTTTCCAAAGGTACAACTTTCAGTAGAATATTCACTTTGAAAGTTACAACAAGTTGCATATGTAAAAAGACCTCTCAGAAAGCTGAGAGCCCAGTATGAAGTTGTCATGGTTCCTTATCTGAACCTTTTGTCCAAGTTGGCTACGAACTCCGTTAACGTGTTATCTTTTCCTTTCTATTTCTAGATCAATCTATGGACTGCCTGAGAACAAATGCTGAAAACACTTTAGTCTCCATTGCTGAATCCAGTCCCCGGCCGATTAAAAAAATTGTGGAAAAACAGGAACAGCAAAGGAAACTAGTGAAGACTAGGTTAAAGCTGATCGAGGTAGTGGATATCTTTCAAGAAGATACCATAGGAAAGCGTTCAACGGTAAGAACCTTTTAAAGATATATCACTGAACTTTTCAATAGATACCTACTGAAGTAAGTTAAAGGTAGGTTTCAAACATACAATTAGCCTTGTCATTATAAACCAACCATGAATATATCGATCGATATTTCCGTAAGTGCTCCTATGGATGGTCCTGTTATGCAAACGCAAAACGATACTGCAAACGAAACGATGAAATTGTGTCCCCTTGCTGTCTCCTTGCTATGTAGGGTTACGTCACAGCTTGGTGCGAGGAAGAAGGAGTACTTGGTATGGTATTACTGAAGTACTTCGGAAAGGAAATGAAGGAAGACTGGACTCGAGAGATCGATATAGTTGAAGGTCTTTCTAGTAGTGAAGACCCGCAAGACAATCTTCTTCATTATCGCTGGCACTCTAAAGGTAAGTGACCATCTTTACTAAAAATACATCTGAAATTTCTGCCCATGTGTAAGAAAATACACTCATTTCAGAGACTTAGCAAAAAACGCGAAAAACCAAAATCCACAGAAAAACAGGAGCAGCTCTGATTAACAAATAGATTCCAAGTTGCCGTGCGTCTGTTCAGTAATAGATCACAGATGACGTCAAAATGTGGCCAGAACAAAAAAGTGACACACGAGGCGCATCCGAGTGTGTCACGATGGTCTTACCACATTTTGACGTCCTCTGTGATCTATTACACAACAGACACACGGCAACTTGAAATCTATTTTTTTTATACAATAAAGAATTAAAAAAGTTTTGATGATGACGTCATCAATACGTCTGTCCTCCAATAGATCATGAGTGAGAACCAATCGGAATCTGTGCACAATTGAGCTTACCACATAAAAAACAATAGATTCTTTCTTGAAACAAGAGTGCAATTCCTTTCATGAATGGAGTAAGCTTGACGAGGTTTTGAATTGAAATAATCGAAATGGATCCAATCATTTTCAATACAGTGGCTAAATCACGTGTCTTAATAGGTAGATACGCTCGAAAGGCGTGCTGATATATTCTAAGTAGGGAGTAGTCAGGTGCCAATAATGGTTTTTTTTAGTGTTCAATCTTCCCGCGCTCTACAGGCTTCTCCTGGAAAAAGCTGATCGCACGTGGTTAATTTTGGGCTGATTTTGAAGTTGGAACTAGCAGGTTGACATATTTAAGGCTTCTGGTGCTTTTTTATTTACTCCAAAATGCGGAGAAACTATATCGTAAAAGAGGCAGGGGGTTATTATAGTAGAAGTAAATACCTAGTTTTGTTTCGGGTAACAGTGGGCTGCTAAATTTCTAGGTCATTTAGTTATTATACTGCTGCGGCTGTTGATTTTTAGCGTCTGAACAGAGTATTGAACATGGCAAGAAGAAGATTCATGGCATACAAGGAAGTAGTTGGTAAGTTATCATTGGCCGAACTCTGTAACGGTCATTTAAACTGTAGTTGCCTCGATAAACTGAACTAAGACCATGGACATAGCCGACGGAAACTTTGAATTATTTCAATTAAGTTAAATTTTCATTTTTTTAAATTCAAAGTGCACTGTTTTCAGTATGACATTTCCTGACTGTACGTAAGGAACCTTACTGACATTGTAAGTGCTGATTTATCACATAATTTTTACTGTACGTTCTCCTCTTAATTAGCCCTTCATTTCCTTCTGAATTTTGTTAAGGCTCATTTGTTACGATTTTGAGTCGAGCTCCACTTTGGAAGATTTCCTTTCGGAGAAAGGAATTGTTATCAACTTCGACGCGGTATGCGCTGTAGTTTGTGACGTCATCACCGCTATAGAACATCTTTTGGATCATGGAATATCTCATAACAACATCACAACCGGCAACATTTTGATCAGGCATTGTCCAAGAGTAAGTTGATAACTGATGTTTTAGAGCCTGAAAACTTTCGCAGTCCATTGATAGCCGTCAAATTATCTTAGTCTCGCCTGAAGTCTCTTACGATAGATGTGTTGTGGTGCCAATTCCAGTCTAATGAGCAATAACACAAGAAATGTAGAAGAAAGTAAAAATCGTGTCTCTTAATGCGCGAGACCATTTGCAATGGGTTTCACTTGAGAAAGTTTTAAAATCGTTTCTGTACACCTCATCCACGCATGTCGGGCCTCATTTGATATTTATCTAAAATTAGTGTTCTTGGACTAGCTAGCTAGTGTAACGAAATAACAATTTCACCCAAGAGCGTGAACAAGTTGGCTTTTTAGCGGGCAAATAAAAGATTGACGATAATCCCGCCATCATGAACGAGGTCTACGAAGCGAATTTGACAAGATCGATACGTTTTACAGGTACCTCCGATCAAAGCCGTTCTTGGTGGATTTTCTCAAGCGTCTAAAGCAGATGATGCAGGTGCGTTTACAAACTCGGCGGCCGACAAACAGAGTTGCCATAGCCACGACATAAAGCAGTTCGGACATTTACTAGCAACCTTACTAGGACACTGCCATGGCTCCAGTGAATACGTTAAGGTAATTACTATGAAGTCAATGTCAGTAGGTACTTATGACGACCTAGAAAAAGCTTGGTTGATTTGCAATTACTGATCCCAGGTTAAAGAAAAACTGTCAAGATTAAGAACCACATGTAGATTGTTTACCATCTTTTAATTGGTTGCCGTAGCTTTAGTGGACACAAAAGAAAGCTGACATCTATTTTTCATATATTCAGTAATAGTTAATTAACTACGGTGCAGCAAGATTACGAAACAAAATGACCTTGACAAGTGTTCAAGACCACACCGGTGTATTTCGTTGAATTATCTTGCTAGGGCGTTGTTATCGTAAGTTTGGGCATCAGTCTCATGGTAAAATTGTAACTCTTCTCTTGATCTCTAAAAAATTGTCACTGCTTTACATAAAGCTGTAAGGAAGGATACAGTTATCTTATGCAATGCACAAAAAGCTGCCTGATTAAAAACACAACTTCCTTTCTTTTGTTTTGTTCATGTTCTGTAGTTGCATGAGATTATGAACCTGTGTTTCGAGGATACAGAGGAGAAGAGGCCTACAGCGCGTTACATCCGCGAAGTATTGGAAGAAACCTGGTGCGCTGAGGGGGTTTGGGATACATACCTATGAGGAAACTAAAGAAAAAAAAATCGAAATTAGCTTTCCAATCGCATTTGGTACCGAATTTGAAATGGTTGTATTAGTGACACCATCGATTTCTCTGAGTATTCGGTCAGTTTTTTTTCTCATTTTTAACTTGCCTTTACTGAAACAAGAAACGCTTTTCGGCGATTTGCCTAACATCGAAAAAATTTGTTGCATTGCTGCTTTATATTATGTGCAGGGTGCTGCGTGGGTTATTATGATGGCAAACGGATAGAAAGTCAGCAGTTCATTTCAAAATAATTTATACAATAGCTGCTCAGTGTATGTGAAGTTCGTAAGTATTAATTTAGGGGCGAAACACCCGAGGCTTCCGAAGAGGATTGTCGGTCCCCGTTCTGTTTCAGCTTCATTAGTTTCGATTAATTAATTAGTTGACGAAAATAGACTATAATGAATTTAGGTCATTATAATGTACATGAAAAAATACTCAGTTCTAATTGGTTCAGATAAATGCAGTTTCAGGTAATTCAATGTAGAAGGTTAATTCAGTGCAAATAAGTAACAAAGCAGACATTCTGATTGTCAATAAAGTCAATGAAACTCACAGATAGCTCATCACCGGCTTTTTAAGTAGGTTTCTTTCGCCACTGCAACAACAATACAACAGCTATAACAACGAAAACACATTGGTTTTCAGTTTGGAAAAAGTGGTGTTTAGAGAAGGGAATTGCTAAGAAAATCGAAAATTGCGAGCCGACCCAGCTTAACACTTTATTCGAGCGATTCTACGCCGAAATTAATAACAAACATAGTTAAATCTCGCAAACGACGATTTCATTTCATCGAAAGTGATTCGGACACAGACTGAACAATTCCTTGAACTGTTTAGCCGGACTTTGAACCTTTTTTGCGCCTTAGAGATCTGAAATATCATTGTAATTTATTGTTTTGATCGTACGCGGTTGTTTTGACCGAATGCACAATGTCACTTGTGGGTTATAATAAATCATGTTTGCACTTGATGCGCGCGCTTTGCTTCTGCATAACTATAATAAGCTATCTGGAATTTTTGATGTACATTTTTCATACGTAATCTCATGATTTTTCTTGTGCAATTTGGAATAAATAAGCACTTGTTAAGTTAATTTTTTCAAAGACCACAAATTGCACTTGCCCTACCGCCTCCTGCAATTTTGTTTGTCTTTGAAAAAATTTACTCGTGCCTATTTATTGCAAACTGTACTCGAAATCATGTATTTACCTATCCTAATAAAAATGAAAGTAGTAAACTAATGACGATAATGATAACGGTAGAGATAATAATATTAAAAATGAGAGTATTAACAATAGTATATGACGGAGCTTGAGACGAAATAATTTAAAATGGCGGTCACTCGGACAAATCCAAGATGGTACCAAAACTGGTTTTGGTAACAGGTAAATGTGCGGGGGATTTGATGAGATGCAAACCGTATAGGTATGTTGAAGACCTAAATGTAATAACTGTCTTAGATGTAATAAAGTCCTAAATGTAATAAGATTTGGTCCTAAATGTAATAAAATCCTAAATGTAATAACATTTGGTCCGAAACGTAATAAGCCTCCGATGCAATCATTTAATTCCGCTAGTGCATTGTTGTCATAGCAAGTAAAAAGACGCTGATTAATGTCAGCGAGCCCACAATATGCTAAGAATATTGGTCGGAGGATTTTTTGGTACATCAGCTGTCACTTTAACATCTAAAGGAGGATTTCCACTTTTACAACATTACACTGGCTACAACTCCATTGGAGGCTTATTACATTTAGGACCAGATATTATTACATTTAGGACTTTATTACATTTAGGACAGTTATTACATTTAGGCCTTCAACATAGGTATTTGTGGAAATTTTTAAGTAATTCACGAAACAAAAGGGGCTTTGAGAACATGTCTGGGCAAATCCGCAAAAGACACATCAATCACTCCAAAAAGTTTTTTGAAAAATAGTAAATTTTTTGACACAAATCTGTACACCCAAACTAATATGATCTCAAGGTGTTATAACCATCAATCTTTTGCCACCTGTCAGGTCTAAAGCCGAATAGGGCATTTCTTCTCCTTTCACACCTAGACGAACCGCCTTGTAAGTCAAACAGTTGAAAATTGATAGGGTTATGTGCCAGGTGTCCGTTGTATGCATCATTGCGCACCATTCCGAAGATCAGACTTTGAGGAATAAGAACGTTAAAAATGTCTGTCCCTGTATGATTTAATATCCCTTGGGAATAGTTTTTGCATGGGTTGGAGATCTGGTCAATGTGTAAACTGCCCGGAGGGCAGGCGAAGACTTGCCCGAGTACTTTGACTCGTCATTTCCTTCCTTTTAACAGTAAGTGTGCCTAGTTCTAGCCCCAGGCCCCCGACTGTGAAGACTGAAAGCGGCCATGAGTACCTCGTTCTCATTCATGACCCGTCCTCGTCGATTTTGTCAGTACGATTGCCGCGCACTGATGAGACAAGTCTGTCTATATCTGGAAAGATAGCTATCAAGAGCCTCCGCGAGGAACAATGTTTTTCACAAGAAAAAAGCTTACAATGATGAAATCTCTGCGTTTCAACATTCAGTACAGGCACCGTCTTCAGGTTAACCTCAATTATCAATTATCCAATTAAATACAGCAGTGACCAGTTATTTTGAACGCTAGACATGGTCAAAATTCCCCGCATTTTAAACTAGAGACTCATGTACTTAAATATTTCTCATTGTATCGCCATAGATCTACTCTAAATTTCAAACCCCAGTCGTGTGATGTCTGATTGAATCCGTTATATGAAACCAGTTTTGCTTCAATTTCGGAGACATTTTTGTCAATAACAACCCTGATGTTTCTATTCCACACGAAAGAAGAGGGAACAAGGCATCGGTGTTAACAGCTTTTTTCAACCTTATACGCTGTCTGTGTTATGTCAGATATATTTTTAAGGCCTCGTCAAATGTGCACAGCTTAATTTTCCCCCTGAGAGGCAGACTAGTCTACGTTTTCTATAACTAAATGCAAGGATATAGTGATGCCTTAAAGACTAAAGATACCCAGATGTCTGCAAACGATAGTTTTTTTGCTCTTAAATGCACAAAACATATTTTTGATTTGAGGCAATAGTTAATTTTTTGCCAATTTTTTCACAAATGTGTGAACTTAAAGAACTGTACGTGATTGTGTCGTTTGTAATGAATAGAGAGGATAGCAAATGATATAATGCCATGGGCATATCTTCGTGTAATAAATAAGGAGAAAAGAATTCCATATGCACACATGACAAGTGATTTGTATTTCATCAGGTGTCTGACTGTAGCGGATAGTAGTTAATTTTTCTGAAAAATATATACACAATCCAAGGTAAGGGTAAAAAGGGTAATGATTTTCGTCGGGTTGTGGTGACTGTAAAGTCACAAAATTAAGAAAAAAAGGCAATTATATTCAAAAGCACTACGTATGCGTGTACATCCATGACATTTGGCTTCACAGAATGTTCTTGGCCCGTTTTTAGCAAAAACAAACAAACAAACAAACAAACAAACAAAAGCACTTGTTTTGCACAGTTCAATACATTCTAACCAAGCAGTTAATGATAAAAATTCGTTAGATTTTTCCATTTTAGGGGCTTAAATGCATCGTTAACCCTAAAAGTTATGAAGAATAAGGAAAGTAAAGGGGAGGAAGTGGCGTCACCAAACAGGAAGTTGGCATAAAGAGGAAGTTGCTATGAAGCGGAAGTAACGAATAGATTGGTAGCTTTCGTCCAAATATACTTTTAAAATGGGGGGCTTTCACTTTTGAGTGAAGCGTGGCTATGCTTTCAAACAAAATTCCCAATACGCGTAATCATGTTTACATTTTTTTCATACCGCACAGACCCCTTTACCTCGATAGCTTACGGATGGAATTTATCGAACATGCTAAAAGATATTATAAATAATTATAATAACTATAACAGATGTTCCTCAAAAGATTTTTCATAATCTATTTACAAATGTATGAATGTATAAAATAATAATAATAATAATAATAATAATAATGATAAAATATAGTCAGTATTCATAACTAAAGAAGCTCTGAAAGTACATGCTAATATACCGTGTGGAGGTACTTCCTTATGGCCACCTTAAAAAATTTGACTGGAGCAATAAATAAGAATTTCACCTTATGCTCCGGTGAATGACGCTTTCGTGATGTTCTAATCACGTGCGGTATAAGGCGAGGTTGCATAGAGGTTTTTAATAAGTAGATCTTGTAGGTAATTCAAGTAGTGAGACTAACGGATCTTACTGAAGGCAGGTGGTCCCGCGTCTAGCAATCCAGTGCTCAACTTCTGGCACTTACCTTTTGGGCATAAACTAAGCTCGTTTCAGTTAAATTACACGTTCTTCAGCAGACTACGACGCAAACTAAACAAGATAGCTTTTCTTAGGTAAGGAATGCCTTTGCCTTTTATATAGAATTACTCTTTGCAAAATTAATAGCTCGGTGGCCGCAGTTACCCGTTTTCACTCTAAATTTTAACAAATCAAAACGAGACGGTCGATCGTCGCTCCTCAGAGCGTAGCGTGTGGAAAGTTTGACTGAGCTCTCTTTAGTATAAAACGTGCCAGACAAAAGTTACAAAGCATTTAAAGGTGTTTTGTTGGCGTGTTAAGGATATTGCGTGGAGTGAAATTGATTGCTGAGTCATAGAAAACTTAGCAGAGTCTCTGAAAATCATTCAGTCGACAATCTTCGACAAAAATTTGAAAAAAGAAGAAGAAAAATAAAGACCTGTAGTTGATTCTTGTTTCTTTTCGCATGTAGAATATTCTACACAGAGCATTTTCCGTTAATTAAAGCAATTTACGAACTCCCTTTTCCGATTGACAAATATTTATTTTTTTCTTTCTAATGATTTGGACTGGGATATATTTTTTATAAATTATATTCTTTAGGCCAGAGAGAGAGAGAAGTTAACTGTATGTTTCACAAATACGAGTTACCTTTGTCGCGAAAAAAAAATAGAAATTTGAAGATTTTTAAAAATTAATGCTACTTTGAATTGTGTTCCAGAGCGTTTTGTGTTTATTGCTGACATTGTCATAATATGGTGAGCTTCCATCATGGGGGAATTAATTATTAATATCTTTTTGTTGCTCATTAAAGCATGTAAAAATACTGAAACATTTGTAATAGTATTCTGACGCAAATTATATGGTGTTTCTCGAATCTTGCAACACAATATTACTCCACAAAATGGATATTTGAGGATTCTTTATTGCGACAAATTTTAGCGTTTTAAAGAAGAAAACAACACGTTCAAACAGTTACTACGAGAATAACGAGGTACAGGGAACAGTTAAACAGTTTCAGTACTATGTGATTAAACCACCTTGATCGGAAGGCAATTCTAAAACTTAACGGTGTCGTAATAGCTTCATTAAGGCAGTCGAATGGATGGAAAAGTTGTGGGAAAAATTAAAGTTGATTCCCGTGTTGAACGTAATAAACTTTGCCTATAGCTATGCTTTGCATTTTTACTGTATTTTATATCTAAGAATCACTTCATGGGTGGCTGCGAATCAACTGAGAAGAATTAAAGTGATGGTAAATAAAAATGAAAATACCTCAAACAGGTTAAACTTATCAGGGAGAAACAAGTTGGGAGTGTCGAAAGTATACAAAATGCGAATGAATAATTCGAAAACGCCAATGTAAATTTTTCAAGATGGAAATCCATCACTCAGTTGACTTTGAATTTCAAAGGCAACAGGAAGACTTCCTGTCGCCTATACGATTTTAATGTATGCAATACTTCAGCAGTTTTTTTTTCGAAGTTGTAGCTTCACTAGTTCTCAATATGCACGCCCTTGTCACTTTTAGGTGAATTTAGGGATCTGATGATAACCAGGTTCGCCCCCAGCTGTTCCTATTATTTTTGACGATTGTTTGAATCATAGCTTCAGCTTCTTATGGTTCCAAAGATAAATAATGTATCAGAACTTGTAAACAACCTTGCCCAGAAATTAATTGATTTTGAACTGACACAGGCGAGGAATCAGGCAAACTCTCCGGCGTGTAGGCCATTAAGAATAAAACCAAAATAATTCCTCTGTGTCTTTTCCTTTTTATTGTCAGGTTTGTACACGGTAACTTGGTGAATGTATGATCAGGTGTTAAACATCGAAATTTGGGTCATTTTATATTTTGCAACAGGCTCTGTTTTATCCAGAAATCCTCTCCTCAGTGATATGCAATTACTTAAAAGTTTTTTTTTTATCTTTCTGAGATGGCTCTTCCTCTACGAAGTTCAAATTCAAACATGGCAACACTCCTGTTATCCGCAAGTCTTTGAAGTTTCGGCGAGAAACCGTGGGCTTTTTATATGACATTGCTTGTTTAGATTAGGACTCTAAAACGCACCCACTTTTTTAACGTGTCTCGGGTGTCTAACCGGTTTTCTTATTTTTTCCTGAAGAGTTTTTTTTAAAAACCATCTTGTGGGTGAAGGGCAGGTGAGGAACTGAACTGATACTATATTTTCGAACGGAAATGGTGTTCATCTCCAAATGTTTAGACAGCATGCATCCGTGTTTTAGTTGTAACTAATAACGTGTCAAGATAAAGTGTCTCTGATTATGCATGAAAATTAGTTTCCACCAGGAGGTCTTTCAAAGTTCAATTTCAAATTGTCCTTGTTTGGAAACTAGTTGCAAGTCTGCTTTACGACAATTGGATCCGTTGAGGCCGCCTACTGATATTTTTTAATTGAGTTCCCTTCTAGATAAATAGTATCACGAGAACACCGGTCACATCTTTTTTTTTTTGTTCACGGTGCGAAAGCCGACCGAAGTCGATTAATTTGTGTCCTGCAAATTTTAAAAGTATTGACTAGTAAATGACGGCATTCGAATTGAAACGAGAATTTCTATTCCAGAGTGTGTATCAACTTTCTGGAATGATGCTTCCAGTTATCCAGGGAACACATTTGCTTCTTGCCAGCTTCTTTGTGATGATTGCCACTGTTTTTTCCTTCCAAGCAGGAGGCTCTTCAAAAGACATCACCGGTAAGTTTTATCTCTCGATTGTAAAAAAATCTAAGCGGAAGCTAGTAAAAATTATCTGTTCTCTTCAATTAGTAACCAAAAAAGCGTGAAAGCTTCTATGTAATCTACGAGCAGAATTATCACCGTCTTAAGAAACTGCTCTTCTTTTGTTTTCCGTTTATAACCGATTTTTCGGTGTTACAGAGAATCGAAGTGTAAGTGTAACCGCGAGGTGGGCCAACCGCGCAGTGAGTCAGTTTTGAATTTATATATTCTCGACCGCGATGCCGTATATTTGCTTTGAAAGTAAACATTATATATCATGTGTCTCTTTTAGTTTTATTATTTTTCTGGCTTGCCTAACTGATATCTCACGATGATAGATCCACAGTTCAGATACTACACAGTAGGTGCTAAAAATGTCTTTAACTAGGCACAGGTGGCAAGAGACAGCAGAAACGGTTACACATTATGAATTCGCTGTAAATTTGTTTAATTGTGGTCGCTCCATTTGACACCCCGTATGTATCGTGCTAATTTGCGCCTTCACGATTAGCAGCCAAGACCAATTCAAAGTTGTGAGAATATTTTGGATCTTCGATGACGTTGGAGGCCTGAGGGCAATTCTCCATGGAACCTAACGTTCCACAAATTTATTTACAACTGGTAATACTGAAGCCATCGCTTATTTTATGAGGAAACTCAGTTTTAGGCTATATTGGTATTTTTTTTAAATTAAGGTAAAGCCTCAAACAGGTTTCCCTCAGCAATCAAAAGGATTATGTTATTTTGGTATTATCCTTCACCAGGGAACTGCACCTTCGATGAGAGAACATTCTGCAGCTGGTCCAATGAAAGATACGCCGACCATTTCGATTGGGTACTTGGACAAGGAAATTCTCTAAGCAGTGACACTGGACCAATTACTGACTACGCAGGTACATTAGATGTTTCATTTTTCTACGCAATGTACCCTTTGAAATAAAGTACCGTCTGGAAACTTTATATTCAGATAAAGTAAAGTCCTTACATGTATCTTAATGATTCGCAGAGTTAACTGACAAAATTATGTTATTTTCATATGAAAAGATGGTGCGATTGGGTCTTACTCATGATCTATTGGAGGACAGACGATGATGTCATCATTAACAGAGTTTAACTTTTTCTATCAAACGAAACAAATAGATTCCATGTTGCCGAGCGTCTGTCTACTAATAGATAGATCCCAGAAGACATCAAAATATGGCGGGAACAACAGTGACGCACTTATCTGCTCTTTGGGTGCAGATATTTTTGTTACACAGAATATTCACACGGTTTTTCAGGTTTTCCACGTGTATTCTTCACTAATGAAACATAGCATTACACCCTTTTTTATACGCATGGCCCGACTTACACGCACAAAATATTTTTGCTTACGTCATATGACGTCTATCAGGATATCCAGTCCTCTGCCGTGAGAACACTTGACTATTAACATAAATTCCCTTTAGAAACAAGGGAATACCATTACTTAACATTTCAACCACGTTTTGACGTGTTCTATTATTGAGCGTATATCTGTTAAATTGATAAGGGATGCATTTTACGCTTCCACAGAAAATGGCTCGTATATCTACATTCAAACGTTATCCCCTCGAAAGTACGACGAGAAGGCCAGATTAAAAAGCCCGTGGGTGAGAGGTCCACTGCGGATGACATTTTTTTACTCCATGTACGGCAGCACCATTGAGACTCTCTCTGTATATGTGATAATCAATGGCCGTGAATCCAGGATATGGAGTCGTCATGGGAACCGCTCATCGCGCGATTGGATCAAAGGCTGCGTGGCTATAATCTACGAAGTGACTTATCAGGTAGTTCAACTACCTTTTTCCCTAAGAAAACATTAACACTAAGACTTTGGGAAAATGGCCGAGTGATTTTTATTCTTCATCGGAGAGGGCCAAAAGGTTTTCTAGGTTTTCCACTATTTAAGTTGCATAAGGATCTATAATTCATTACTGGACCCTAACCATGTCGTCTTATCTGCTCACAGGTAGTAATAGAGGGCATCGCAGGTGTGACTTCTGCATCAAGTATTGCAGTTGATGAACTGATTTTCAGTAAGAACCTAACTTGCGTTTCAGATGGTGACACTACTCCATCTGAACTCTTTAAAGGTAATCCTGTCTTTGTGCTGCTAAACAAGAAGCAGTTTGGCTTGAACTGTATTAATTAGGATTCTTTTCACTTGCATCGAAAATACTCGTGTCGCTTCTTAATGAGTCAGACTGATTTCTCAAGGCAAAATTTCATGGAAGAAAACGTTCCCTTCACCTATAACCTCAAAGTAAAATTAAAACCCTTGCTTCCCTGTAAGCGGTAAACTTAAGTTGTTCTTAAGGACAATTGATGTAAATATTATACCATGTAAATTAATCTAGCAATTGCTGTCCGAGACCGTATTTTATTGCCTTTTTTTAATGCAATTTCAGTGAACTGCACCTTTAAAGAGAGTTTCTGTGGATGGCGAAATCTATTTGCACCTTGGGATCAAATCGACTGGAGGAGAGGATCAGAAAACTCAAGTGAACAAATTGAAGCGAGCGGTAATCTCACTGGCGAGTAAAAGACGCCACCGCTATTGTAGTTTTATTGTCCACCACCTACACAAAATGCTCAACTTTAGGGGAATTGATGGCTTCACCACCGATGATAATTCAACTTCTGCTGATATTTTTACCTTTGACGAAGCGGTTATTCCTTAATGAAAGGAAAAAATTCATCGATTCAATTGAGACGTATTTCGGTTCATTGTCGAAGAAAGCCAAGGTTTTTTATAATGTAATATTCACCTATCCACTACTAATTCTGTGCTTATGCCTTTCTTTTCAGTATCAAGAGGAAGAAATTACATTTACATCGAAGAGTTACAATCTGACAAAGTATATCAAGCCGCTCAGTTATCGAGTCCATTCGTTCGGGGACCAAAATGTTTCCGCTTTTCTTATCGCTTGTCCGGACGTGATGTGGGAAGACTGGATGTCTTGCTTCAACTTCGAGGGCGACAAGGAAATTACTTAATTTGGAACAAGTCAGGAGATCAGGGAAGTCGGTGGATAAAGGCTAGCGTTGATATTGGTTATACTGACGAGTGTCAGGTACACACATTCTAAAGGCAGGAAACAATGAGATGATGTTTACTCTTCTATACGTGGGTCTTACGTTTTCTATGATCCCGAGAATTGCAATCTGTATAGAATTATATCTGTCATCGTGGTATAAAGTAATAAGAAGTAATACTCCCAGTCCTGGCAGTTCCAGTTGGCCACAGGTGTTAACCCTGTCCATAGATAAACTTTTCAAGCAATTAGATTAGACTGCATTGTCACAAAATAAATAAATAAATAAAAAGATATGATTTCAATGATAATTCCTATCACAGATTGTCCTACAAGCAACAGTTGGCAAAAACTACACAAGTCGTCTAGCCGTCTGCGATGTCAACGTAGTTGATGGACTATGCCATGACGAGAGGGAATATAACACCGACGTACAAGGTTCTTGTCATGCTTCTGTTCAAAGTATTAAAGAACCATTTATGATTCTCTCGTCGCTTGGTTTTTTGATGGTCTGTTATAAAATACGCAATTTTCGAGCTTTTGTTATAACTTTCTTATTTGTCAACTTTACAGATAACGGCTATCACATTTTTTATTTTTAGGGAATTGTAACTTCGATCATAACTTGTGCTTTTGGAGGGGTGATTTCAATTTCATCTACTCATGGAGAAGAAAACGAGGCAGGACATCAACCTCTCAGACTGGACCCAGCGGGGACCATACTTCAGGTAAAACGAAGTAAATAGTACTTGTGAAAACTGGTATTTCCGCATGTGGGGTGAATAACTTTAAGCAGAGATGGAAGATATAAAATTTAATCCAAGTGGTCATAACATAATACTAGTTTTCTTTCGAAAGGATCTGGTTATTACATTTATATCGAGACATCGGGATCTAGAAAGATGGGAGACACTGCAAGGCTCACGAGTCCGTGGCTGCGAGGACCACTTTGCATGACGTTCTACTACCACATGTATGGCTCTTCCATGGGATGCGTTGCTGTGTACATAAGACAGGCTGCAAATAGATTACAACCGCTTTGGCTTAGGACTAAGAATCAAGGAAACAGATGGATTCAAGGGCAAGTTAGCATAAACGATACTTCAAGTTATCAGGTGGGATGTCACTATTTGAATCATAGCCTTTGCTCAAGGTGGCTACAGTCAGAATAGATTTATCGTTTCCGCTATAAAGTGAGTTCTTATATGACTTCTGCCATTTTAATTTCGCTGTTAATTATAACAGTCTTCCAAAGTATACAGATTTCGTTGGAATTTATCAATCAAAGCATGCATTACATAACAGTCTGACAGGTTTAAACCTCAGGGAGACTAAACGCTGGCTGCGACATCGTTCTCTGGTGGAAACAACAAACAGGAGAGCTTTGATATACAACACACGTTGTCTCTCATCTTGTTTAAGTGAGATCGCAAGATAGCTTGGAAGTCTCTTTTTCTTTGTCATTTCTAGATAATAATTGATGGCATCACAGGCACAAGCTATCGTGGAGACGCAGCCTTGGACGACTTCACGTTTCAACACGGACTTTGTCACCAATTAAGTACGGCAATATCAATATCTTTTTCCGATTCAATAGAAAATCATTTGGGCACACGATAACGGCGTTTACTTAATTTTTTATCTTTCGAGCATTATCTTAATGTAGTTTTTTCAGTTTTGTGTATCGTGGAGACGCAGCCTTAGACGACTTCACGTTTCAACACGGACTTTGTCACCAATTAAGTACGGCAATATCAATATCTTTTTCCGATTCCATAGAAAATCATTTGGGCACACGATAAGGGCGTTTACTTAATTTTTTATCTGTCGAGCAGTATCTTAATGTAGTTTTTTCGGTTTTGTATTTGTTGAGTAGAAAAACATGATCCATGATTCCATTTGAATTTATTATTTTAGGTAAAGCAACGTTCTATGTGTCTTCCCTTAAGGGAAACAAATTCAGAATATCCACAAAACCTTCTGGAGACAATCTGTACTTCGACGAATTCTTATTCGCTCTCGAACATCCACGAGGAAATCCGACAGAGAAGACTTATTTCATCTACCCCCATTCAAAGGGACACAGCTTCGTTACCACAAAGCTAGATATTTCTAATTATGATAACTATCCTTTGGATGTTGTTGTCCTCAACCACAAGGAGTTGTCACTGAATTGCAGTAAGATTTTTTTCATTAGCAGAGATGGGGCTGGGCCTATGATAACTCTTGAAGATCCCGGTCTTAAGGATTGTTGCAAATGCAAGGCGAATTTCTCTTTTTATGCCTGCAATGTGGTTCAATCAGGTGAGAAAGTGACAAAGTCTGTTTAAGTTAAAACTCAAACAGATTTCTTTAAAGTATATATTTTAAGGAAACAAGTAGATTTCTCTGCCCCCATTATTTTTTGCTTTTCGCGTCATAGAAAATCTCGAGAGATATTGAGGACAAGGTGGAAGATCCCTATGCAAATAATGGGAAGTCGTGTACATGATTATTTTCAATTTTATCACTTATATAAAAAAGACGTGAACAATGTTTCAAAATAAGGCAAACGAGGAGTTGTTCTTTTAAGAGTGTGACTCACTTATCCACACGAATCATCTGTTGCAGTGGTGTATTTTATTGGGCTTGTTTTAACTAGAGAAGTTACTATGGGAAAAATCCATGAACAATTTTTTGCAGGTAGCCGTTCTATTTCTGGATGTGAACCTGGTTGGTACAAACTAGGAGAAACATGTTTCATGTTTTACTTCCAATCATCGAAGCAGTGGCGGTTTTCCCGAAACCTGTGTCACAAACAGAAGAGCGAAATCGCTATCGTCAATAGTGCAGAGCAACTAAAGGCTCTTGCAGATCAGAGGAAAAAACTCCAGCGTGAATACCACGGTCTTACACTTGGTCTTGAAAGCAACCTACGTTGGGTTTGGATAGATGGTGAGAATGCAAAAAGTAATAAAAACCTATGGGGACCATGGCAGCCAAGCGGAGACGGTAAATGTGGAACTTTCTCAAATGCAATTGGATGGAATTCAAACTGGGCTGGGTACGGATGGCGCTGGAATGATCTATACTGCACGAGCCGTGAAGGATATATTTGTGAAGAACCGTTAGGTATGCGTTTTATATTGGTGGCTGGTATATAAAGGTGATTTATTGTTTGTTGAAATTCCTCCGAACTACTTTTTTCAAAAAGAATTCTCGCCACAGTCATTTATGTAGCTTAAAGACTTTTCTCATCTGTTCAATTGAAAGACTATGGAGGAATATTGTTGAACTATAACAAATCTGTTTCTTTTCCAAGATGTCCCCTTACCAGTGGCTCTCTTTTCTACAAGTCGCACCGATGGAGTTGTTGACCAGAATCCAAATGGAGCCACCAAAGCAGTATCTAATAACATCACCCTGACGAGAGGTCCCTTGGGTAATCCAGTTGGTTCCTTTCTCTTCAGTGATTTGAATAACAGTTACGTGGAAGTTGAAAATGATGGAGAACTCGATACAAGGTTTTCGATGAGTGTTTTTGCATGGGTGCACCCTAACGCGTCTGCCACTCGTGCTGGTCCAATATATGATTACGGTTGTTCGATGTGGGTTTTTCCTTCAACTTGGGGACTTGAAATTCATTATATGGTTAGAGATCGTTCTAAGATTCACCTATTGCGTAAGGATGGTGTTATTAAAATAAATGAGTGGAATTTTATAGGGACCACATACGATTATCACACGGGCGTTGCGTCTGTGTGGGTAAATGATGGCATGGTCATAAACAAGTCTATTGGATCTAACGTGGAACTGGCGACTCAAGGAAATCTTACGATAGGAGCGTCTAACAACCGTGAGGTTCAATTTTATGGCAAAGTTTCCTGCTTGCAGTTCTACGCTCAAGCATTGTCCTTGGATCAAATTATGAAGATAAAGACAAGATGCAATCAAACCAGTAAGCATGTCTAATAGATGTTTCTGTTTGGGGCTTGTTTTCTCAAAAATACAAAATTTATTCCCAGTGGTATTGTTCCAAGAACCAGGCGATTTTTATTTTAATTGACCTTGGTGTGTTTCGTGTATCAGTCTCTTTTAGAATGGAGTGGCGTTTTAGCCTCTCTTTTTCTTTTATTGTTCTTTTCATGTGTCTCTCCCTTCCTTCTCTCGATTTCTTTGATTCATCTAACCCGCCCTTGTAGGCAATGCCCGACATGCAGCTGCATAATTTACAGACTCGACGTGAGCCACTTATTCTTGAAACGTTTACAGGTTTAGAGACACCTCTTGAGGTGGTTCTGTCATCTGTGGTCTTTTATACATAATAGGATAACACTTCACTCAACTCAACTCGTCAACCTGGTGCCCTTGGAATAGTTTTTCTTAGTGTAAGTCAGCCAGGAACTATACATGACCTTGAAGATTTATTCTAACTTAATACATTTGTACCTTTAGTATTACCTACGACTCCACCAGATTACAAAAAAGTGGGATGCTATCGAGACACAAACAATCGTGCAATCCCAAAATTAGAAGACGCTGACCCTTTGTTGCTCGGTGCCTACCAGGACCGTGAAAACGCAATCGAAAAGTGCGCCCTCGCAGCTCGAAAAAGAGGTTTTCGCATGTTTGCACTTCAGAATGGCGGATGGTGTGCAGCCAGTGTAACAGCTGAAGAAACGTTTAACAAATATGGTGAGAGCAATCATTGCCGAGGCGATGGCAAAGGAGGACCCTGGTCAAACGATGTTTACATTATTCAAGGTTGGTCGATTTTATCAACGTAACGTGACAATTTGTGTTCCATAACCTAATAATTAAGGATTTCTTCTCGTATTATCGAGGAAAAAAGAATCCATTTCCGGACAATTCTAACAGATCAAGAAAATGGGCACTAAAGCCAAAAAAAAAAAAGACACTGGCTAAAGAGAACGATTTGTTTAACTTCACAAGTCGTGGTCGCAGTTGTTGGGCAGGACTTGAAATAGCGGACTCCGTGACAAGGTTTAAGGTTTAAGGTTTTACCTTACCTTCGTTTGTAAAGTTAGTCTTTGGAATCTCAAAACTCTCTCAGTTACATGACTTAATGTGTACTTTTTAAAGACGGCTTTAGAAAATAAATGGTACTTCTCTTTTACAAGGAATAAAAGGCATTCGACTGCAGCGACCAGGATATCCCGCCTTATGTACCCCTCGTTAAAAAAAATGTGATTTTCATTTAAATCACATTTCGACAACTCATTTCAAATCTGTAAGAGAAAACGAAATCAGTCGTTTTAGTGGTAATTAATTTATGACTCGCGCAAACTTGTCCTATTTTAACAACTCCTCCTATTTTGGTCCATAAAAGTGCTATTCTGTGTACGCTCTATTAAGCTACATGTACCAAGCTATGAAGGTTTTCAGTGTCTTGGGCACCAGGACAAAGAAGGTAATTGTATAAAAATATCGTATGTGAAATCAACACGTTTAAGAAAATGTAACAGAATTCACAGACATAAATCAATTGCCTCGAAAGCTTTCTTGACGAACATTCGGCATCAGAAGCGATTTTTGATCTATGATGCTGCTTTTCCTCTAAACACGTTTTTGGGTTTTCCTTGCCTTATGCACTAATGCTAATTTTTGCAAATAAGTGATTTATAACATACAAACAAAGAATATTATTGAATTAGTGACTTTAATGTAGTTCTTTTTTATGTCGATAGTCTAAGGTTTTTGTAGCACGGTTTCCTAGGATCGTTGTGGTATGGTAAAACTTTCTCGCTAAACCAGATATTAGCCATGCTTTTACTAACTGATAAAACACCAGGCATGTCACTGATCTGTTTAATTGAACTCAGTTATTTTCTAGTGACGAAAATGTTTTACTTAAATAGATTATATCAATGTGGGGTGCTACAGAGACTCTCCAAATCGCGCAGTTCCGGACCTAGAAAGAACAGATCCAGTCTTGGATGGAAATTTTCGTGTACGTCAGAACGCTGTTGAAAAGTGTGCTATTGTGGCTCGCAAAAGAGGTTTCCACATGTTTGCAGTTCAAAATCATGGGCAGTGCTTGTCCAGTGCTACAGCAGGAGAAACGTTCGATAAGTATGGCAAGAGTGATAAATGCAGTGACGACGGCAAAGGAGGGCCTTGGGCAAACAATATTTACGCATTTAGAGGTGGGGAATATCTCTTTTGACACCTGCGCAATTTATGGGTCGATTTGAAATCATTTAGTTTGGTACTAAAGCCAAATAAGATCAGTAAATTATTGATATCGCCGTTGATGAGAACATTTCAAACTTTAACAAGCCACTGTTATCGACTGAGTAGACCCAATACTGAAACTCAAGGCAGAACAACTCGTGATTCCAATTCCCTGATAACTGTGTCATGTATTATAATCAAAAACCATATGGTTCTGTTGACAAGATTTTTTTGTTTCTTTTCCATGAAGTTTCTCAATCATGGTGCCGTCCGGGCTTTTTCCCCCTTCATGGCGGTTGCTATTATATATATCCTCCAAAAGAACTTAATTGGCAACAGGCTCTGGAGCGGTGCAATCGAAGTGGTGGAACCTTGGCTAAGATAACTCGTGAGGGTTTGAGATCTACTTTCTCTAATTTATTGGAAGAAATAAGACACTTCAAGCCACATTATAACAATTTCCTTATTGGCCTGTTGAGCAAGGACGAGTGGACATGGATAGACGGCAGTCCGTTAAATAGCTCGTTTTGGAAGCAAGGATATCCAACAACAATTAAAAAAACCCGTGGCTGTGGTTATCTAGCGGCTGGCTCATCGGGAATAAGCAGTGGTGCATGTACAATGAAGAGTTACCCACTGTGTCAGAAAAAAGCCGGTGAGTTGCCATGGTCAACTCCTTAGTTATATGCTAACGATTTGAAATTTGTGAATGCTTCTTTTTCCCTGTTTTTAAAGTAAAGTTTCATATATACATGTGTGTGTGTGTATATATTGAGATAGGAAAAAACATAGGGACTACACTTTCATCCCGACAAGCCTGTTTCGTGATGAACTTACTCTTCATGGGATTTAAATGACAGGAATATTCGTAACCATCGTTAACATCACAGGTTAAAGATGCAACCTCTGCCCTGAAGAAAAGTTACTTATTATCTGCCAAACTGAATTCTCATCACTTAACAAACGCAATGAAGTTGTGTCTTCATGTCGTCACAAAAACAAAGCGTTGCTGCGTTACAGGTGAACAAAACATCAAAATTTACCGCCACATCAATTAGGAAATTTTATAATAGCGGAGCTCGCAGAGCGTAGCCCCATAATTATACAAAAAAGTAGTAACCCATCAAGCCGAAAAAATTTGGGCGTACGACCGTACGACCGTACGACCGTGCGACCGTACATGGTGCTACTTTTAACATGCGTGGTCAACTGTACCGCGGGCACACCAACGCCACGGCTTTGTCCTGTAGTCCAGTGGTCAGTGCACCGGGCTCCGAGTCGGACGACCCGGGTTCTAGTCCTGGCCGGGGCAAGGCGTTGTGCCCTTGAGACGTGAGGGGAAAAAATGCCAGCTCCGCTTTTAGGCTTGGCTAAATCTATTTATTATATTAACGATGGTTACCATGATCATATGTGTGTGTATATATATATATATATATATATATATATATATATATATATATATATAGGAAGTCTGCAAGTCGATTTTCGCGTGGAACAGTGCTCAATACGTTGAAGCAGAGCAGAATAAATATTATGAGAGGAAAAAACGACGCAACTACATATCCCGACAAGCCTGTTTCGTGAATCGCTTCACTCTTCAGGGGTTTAATGTCACTCTGAAGAGTGAAGCGATTCACGAAACAGGCTTGTCGGGATATGTAGTTGCGTCGTTTTTTCCTCTCATAATATTTATATATATATATAACTAACTGCTGACAGTACTGTTTCGGCCTTCTGGGCCTCATCAGTGCAGTGCTGATGCTAGGATGGAGGTAAGGCCATATAGCCATGCCAGAGTGCTCAAACTAGAAAAACTAGTGAGCATGCATAATGCTAGCAGCAATGACTCATCCTAGTAGAGTGCTCAATTTGGACATGAAAGCAAAGCTTTGTATGCCAAAGAGCTATATCTAACTGCATCCTAGATATATATATATATATATATATCTATATGTATATATATGTCTATATATCTATGTATATATGGGTTAATCGCATCAACTGACGTTCACGTTCTCTTTAGACCTACGTCGAGCTCCAACAGACTGAATATTCTGTAATAGAGAGGGGAATTGGGGCCCATTAGAAACCGCAAAACCGTAGAAAAAAGTCATCCAAAACCAAAAAACCGAAAAAACTCGATCAAAACCGAAAACCGCATGCAAAACTGTCAAAACCGATATATTTTCACATCCTAGTTATTAAAACCCTGATCGATCCGATACAGTGGTGACAAGTGGAGCATACAGAGTAAACCGCACTAATTTCATTAAAGTATTTGTGGATGCCATAGACTTGGCATTCTTATTTTCATGTCCCTGCTTAAACTACAAGCTTTATTTCGGCTGCTCTCTCGAGGACCTCGAGCGTGGTGTCTGCGAGCTCAGCAGCTGGAAACGGAACCCAGTTAAGTTGAGGAGATGTGGCGGTAGATTTTGATGTTTTGTTCAGCTATAACGCTGCAACGCTTTGTTTTTGTGACGGCATGAAGACACAACTTCATTGTGTTTGAATGAATTCAGGACGCACAAAGTCCTCCCGAGTCCTCTATAGGATTGATATTTTTACTTTGCATCTAAACTTGTTTTTCTCTCTGAAATTCTCGCCGCCTTTCCCCACTTCGTAAAAAGACACGACGCTCATCGACCTTGAACTAAGTGCTCCACATTGCAAGGTCAAAGTCTTGGGCGTCATTCAAGACGTGTGAACCTCGTAAAGATCACTGCGATATTGTCACGCATTCCCCTCACTGACATTTGCGTTTAGCGAGATCAGTGGAGCGCGTAATTGCTGCTCAGATCGAAGAGAAACCGAAACGCAAATAGGTCAAATAGGAAAAACCGAAAACCACATCGGATATCAAATCCGAAAACCCGTTGGTATTTTTTCGTGAAAACCGAAAACCAAATGCTAAAAAATGGAAAATCCTTAAACATCAATGAACTCCAAAACCGAAAAACCGAAAAACCGATCTAAAAAAATAACCAAAATCGCAAAACTGAAAATCCCAATGCCCCCCTCCCAGCAGTATCTGACTTGCCGACTGAACCTTCCTCTTTATACTCGTCCTTGAAATTTTGCAAACCTTTCGAACATTCATATCAATTAAAAAGTTTAATTGCCAGATATAACTGTGACATTTTTACTAAATTATAGAAGTGTCATTTTCAAACCGGAGTTTGATAAGAAGTTCAAGCATGTTGCAGCCATTTGAACCTATCCTGGCCATAGATCGATCTTACTCTACTTGCTTTCGTTCTTTGAAGGTAAGTAATGACACTGGTTGCTTAATTGACGTGGTAAATCTGTTGTTGAGTTTCTCCTCTTCTGGATCGAAAGCTGCAATAGCATTTTCTCTCATTTAGTGAAAATGGATGGACCAGAAATATCATCTGTTCTGGCTTGACCAAAATACTTTTTTTCCGTGTTTTATACATCGCTTTTTACGCTCTTGTGGGTTTAGGAATCAAATCCCTGGTGGCAAGCAACCCTTGACAAACCGCTGTATGTCGTTTCTGTTTCAATAACCGACAAAATCGATTGCTGTCCACGTGACTCTGGAATCATCAATGTTAGTGTGACAACCAGTCAATCTGGCTTGTCTCCAACGTGTTCCAAATCGATGGCGTATCATGGAACGACACATGAATTCATTTTTGATTGCTCACCACCCGCACTTGGATATCATGTGAAAATAACGTTGACGGGTGATAATGTCACGTTAGTTCTCTGCCATGTTGTCATAGAAACAGTTGGTAAGTTATTAAAAATTCCTTCATTTATTTATTTATGTGTTTTTGGTGAGGGAGAGAATGAAGGAAATCTAGCTTATTTTAAATTCTTTGGTATCAGCCTTCGCACTTGCTTATAATATTTTGATAAAGAGATGAGCTAACATGACGTAAGATTATTCCATTCATCTATTCCAGTTTACTTTGGCCTGTTTCAAGTAAAAGTGGACGTGAGAGTAAACACATTTGTTCAATGTTTGACTTAATATAGAGTCGACCCGAGAGTTACACGGAGTTTTGCGTGAAGGATGGTACAATAAATACGAATATGACTCCAAAAAGACGTCATCTATGCGTGAACATCCTCTTATTCAAGGTCCACCTGAAAGCCGGATTATTTTGCGAGATTTTGATGCGCCAATAAATCTGGCAGAGAACTATGTTCAACGATTGACAAGTTACCTACAGGTAGAATCTCATCAAAGCAGATATATTTTTTGCACTCACCTGAGATCAATTGTAAGGTTTTTGATGCGCTGTAAGTTACACTTTTCCTTCCGAAAAGTAGGGAGTATGGCAAGTCAAAGGTAGTATGAAGGAATCACTGCAATCATGCCTTTTTGACATGTTAAGATTAATTTCATTGTCGGTGTTGCTGCCGTTTATGTTGTTGGTGCTATCGCTTTTTAATTGAAAAAATATATATTTGTTAGAATTTGACCGAACAGGCCAATTATGAAATCCTGTTTCAGGTTTCTCTGAGCGGAAATTACACGTTTTATGCGGCGTGCGACGACATGTGTGAGTTATGGAAGTATGATGTCACAGAGACAGGCATCAGAAGAGTTGAAATAGAATCTGGGGAAAGTGTGACGCCAATTGTTTATGTTAAAAGATGGACACATTATCACCAATGGGACAAGTAAGTGATGTGCAAGCAGTACATTACTATGATAATTATTTTAGTGACATTTTTAGTTGTTATTAGAACTGATATACTCTAATTACTTTGTTATTGAAGGTACCCAGAGCAAACATCTCAGCCAATCGTCCTTAAAAAGTGTCGCTTTTATCGAATAGTGATCTTCGGTAGAGAAAAAGGCGGCAACGATCACATATCTGTGGGCATGCGTAACCCAAATGGAGAATATGAACGGCCTATTACTGGGGAAAGACTGTTTTGGACTAAACCAGGTAGGGATATTCTGACTCGTTTATTCGGTTAAAGCGGGAAAATGAAGCGAGAAAAACATGAACAGAAAGTGCTCCACAATCATAAAAAAAAGAAAAACAAGCACACACAGAAACAAGACAGACTGTTTAATAAAACGAGATACCTATGTCTCTCTCTTGGACCCAGACATCTTTATCATGAAGCTGGAGCTCATAACTTCTCCTGGGAGTTACTGGAATTTCCTTTTGTTCGGTGCCACTGATTAAACAAAGAAACAGAGGAGAAAAGACATGTAGTAGGAGACAAATATCTTCATTTCCAATGCTTTTTTCGACTGAAGTGTAAAATTTTATTTCTCTTCAAAGGGACGCGTAATTTAGAAATGTCACTTAAGAATCACAAGACATCGATATCTGCCTTTGTTGGGTCAAATTTACTCATAACAGGTTGGTTTTCTGATGTTTTTCTACATCTTCAAGGATTCCCTCACTTTTATTGAAAATATGGGGAATCGGAGAGATTTTAATGATCATGTGGGAATCACCCCCTCTAAAGGAAGTAGGAGCTCTCTACTATCATGAAGGATCTTGATAATATATAATAGTACTTAAATACTTATGAAAAATAACGTTTTCACTCAACGTCATGGTGGCCAAAAGTTTTACTAACAGTGAAAAAGCGGCCACTTTGGTGTCCAAATTACAAAAAGAAAAGAAATTGAAAGAAGCAGCTTCTTTTGTTCCAATTTCTTTACATAAATCATCGTCATGTGATTGAAAAAAGTTCGTGGCCCGTACTATGTGACGTTTCAGAAATATATCAATTAAAGAATACCTTTTAAAGAGATTTCTAGGGAGTCTCCTGGATGAGACGCAACACTGCGTCGAAAAAGCCTCAAACAACCTTTCCATAAGCATTTGATGATTGCTAACTCGGAAGGCGTGGTTAGGATTCACTTTACGAGAGAAGGACGGTAGACTATCAGTATAAACTTGTGAAAGGGACTTTTAACTCGATGATCAACCAGTTTGCACTCATATTTTGGGAGGCAACTGAAGAATCTCTTCTCATAAGTTTCAGTTTCGCGAAGAATTGATGTATACAATAGAATAGGTTCATCTTACAACATGTTTGGCCAAATTATAGGATATTACAAGTTTTGCTGTGAGGGAGTCTATTGTCCTGATTGCCCACTGGAACTGAACATCTCAAGCCTCGGACAAAATCTGACAGTGAACTCAGCAGCGAGCCTGTCCTGTGTTAACACATCATTTGAGGTAGTTTTTAACACGATTGGTCAACCTGGAAATTTTAATGTGAAGGTGAGAAGCTCTCATTTAATTAGCGATCATCATTTAAGTGATGACTCCCACTACAATTATGGCAACAAATTCACAAGAAATCATGCCATATTTATTTGTAAAATTTGGCAAGAATATGAATCATGATTAAGCAAACGAATGATAAACTTTGAAATTGTAGGCTTTGTTTTTCCTCAGCGTTTTGTTTTGGTTTTATTCATTTTTATTTTCTTGTTTTAATCAACTTGTCATCGGTAAAAGTAGAAACCCATTGGTCTTTATCTATCTAAGAGTGTGTCGATCCCGTCACCTTAAAAATAAAAGTAAAACATATGTAGTCGAAACTTTGTGGCCCACACTACATCTTGTGACAAACGAGAGTAGTGCATTACTTGTGCATTAACCAGGTTGGATGAATACAAATCTTTTATTTGATAAGAACCTAGCCCTTAAGGTAAAGCAAAGTGGTGCATGCACGAATGATAAGCCTTTCTTCACTGTATTATGTAATATTTGGAAGTAGTACCTAACCCATGCGTTGTGATTATTTTCAGGCCAGCTATTCATTCGCGGATCATCCAGAGGAGATTCTCGATGAGCGAGTTTTGGGACAAGTAGATCTAAAAGGTATCTCCTTTTGCACCATCTTATAGGAATACAAGAATTACTGTGTTTGTGTGAATCCACTGTGTTGCTCTTTGACCACTGCTAACTGAAATTTATTTTTTGGTTTTCCTCAAAAGCGGTGGTGCTAGAAGAATGCTACTTCGAGTCTGGAAAATGCGACTGGACTAGCCCACATGCAAATTCCAAGTGGAAACTCTTTCCTGGTACGAAATCTATAAAATACCTCTGTAACCTTTAGTACTTAAGAGGAGAAGGGCAGCACTGCGAGCAACAGTTATGATTTTATAATTGACTCGATTTCATGCTAGAATAAATTATTACGCTACAAATCACTCCCTAAAAGAAATAATGTTTGAATTATAGGGCTGAAGTTAAGGAGATCTGAACCCAGCTGTCAAAGACTATGATCCTAAATTCAGAATCTTTTTGGTCGAACATCATTACTGATAGAAAAAAATATTAAAAAACATTTTATGCTATGAAATTTACTTTACATATTTTTATATGGCCCTTACAAAGCGCAGTTACAGAGTCCACTATTACCATGGGAACCCTTTCATCGAGTGGTTGGCTTGTGCTTACGGTTTACTTACCGTATACCTGTTAAATCAAAGTCAACCATAAAAGTTCTTCTACGAGAACCAAGAAAAGAGGAGCCAATTTTAGCATGGCAGCTTAGGGGATACCATGGCAAAGAATGGTCAGCGGCAGAGGTGTCTTTGCCCGGCGCTACAGCAGTTCAGGTCTGTAAGTTATGACGATTAAATTTATTTGATTGAATTCTTCATTAATTTCTGGAGTTCATATTTTATCACTTTCCTTACGAATCTTTGATATTTGCTATGACAGGTGATGATACGTACTTCATTAATCTCTTTGTCTAGATTATATTTGGGGGAGAAGGCCTCCTTCATAACCAAGTAAATGCAGCAATCAAGAACGTGATTGTAACTACCGAGAAATGTGGCTTTCTACCATACTTTGCAAAACCAGGTTATATTTGCCGGTTCTCTTCTCTTTACTTTTTTGTTTATTGCTGGTTTGGAGCATGACAAGATTTTGTAAACCTTTAACAAAAAGAGAGAAAAAAGAACTATTATCACAAACATCACTGATTCTTTGAATTCACATAAAATAAAAGGGCATATTAAGTTTGCATGCATTTGATGGATGATGAAGAGAAAAGAAAGGAAAAAATCAAATGTTTTCTTAGCTCTCAGTGATCACATTGGATTTTCAGGTTTTAGTTGCGGGAATAAACAGTTTCAATGCAAGAATGGTGAATGTGTGAAGATAAATTTGCGATGTGATGGCGACTTTGCTTGTACCGATAAATCAGATGAAGAAAATTGTGAATGTCACTCCAATAAGTTCGCTTGTCTGGATGGAATATGTCTTCCAGCATCAGCTGTATGTAACGGTATAAATGACTGCTCTAATGGAGATGATGAAAATAACTGCCGTGAGTAAATGTACCTTTGCCATCTACTTTTTGAGTCTTGATTTAATTAGAGTGACACTCGCTATTTGCCCTTCCCATCTGTGTTTGCTGAGTTGCATTTCCACATAGTTTGGAATTACTGCTTTTTAGGAAATAAGTGCCCCTTTAAGCATCACTGTCTTGATGGATCATGCATTGCTTGGTCAGGGACCTGCAATCGAGAGCCTTTCTGCAAGGATGGAACTAACACTCCATCAGTATGCGGTAAGTAAGGCACAGAAAACTTCTTAACCAATAAGGTGTATTTTTTGAAGACACGTTTTTGTATCGAAGGCCTGAGATTTCAGGCCTCTGTTTTGATCTAGTCATAATCCATTTATCACTGAAAGATCACAAAATAAGCTATGTGAGCCATAAATGGACATGATTATAAGAAGTTAGAGATAAAAGCTGCGTCTTCGTGAAATCATGGTTATTAACTTTGGTTCTACAAGCGTAATGGACGACAACGATGTTTCTGAAATGTTCTAATTGCGAGAGGTGTCCAATATGTAAATTTTTGTCTTTATCGAATTCTTATGAACTAGTGAAGACAAATGAGAATCTTCTGGGGAGGGAAGCTTTCGTTTCGGTGGAACCAAATTCTCAACAACTTATTGATTATGTCGTCCTCAATTGGCGGAATTAATCCTTGAAGCTTGACAGTGAAGTTAGTAGTATGTTTCATGGAGTCAATAATTTCCATTGCAGGATCTGGGAAATGCCGCCTTAACGACTTAGCGTGTTCAGCCAAAGAGTCCAAAGCACCAACAAGATGTAAATCTTTCAGGAGTAAGTCCACGGCTTTGTGTTGCCAATATAGCGTCTAAATAAACTCAAATTTAGCGCAGAGAGAAGAATATTGCTGATTGTAAGGCACATGCACCAGTGCTGGCTTGTCACCGTAGCGTTAGGGGAAAGATAGAATGAAGAACAATAAATTTCTAGGTTATTTATCGTGAGTCACGATAATCCATTATGCATTTCCTAACTGCCGTAATTTCAATCAGGTTTTTGCAATTTCGAAAATGACTTGTGCCAACTTAATCCGGATATGAACGCCACTTTCCAATGGACTACAGCTGCAGGTGAAACACCAACGGAGAAGACCGGGCCAAGTTATGATCATAGCACGTTAACCAAAGACGGTAAGAGGCGAAATGAAATGTTCCTCTTACGTAGGAAGACAAATAATACCAATTAGGTTAAAACAGTGCAACTTACTTAAAATCCTTACCTAACTTGTTTTGCATGGCGCAGTACGCCCAAGCTAGTGCGATGGCATATTCTCCTAGTGCCATCTGTGTTGGAAAAGTTCTTTCCTATATTTGTTTGGTGCTGTGGTGCCGTTGAATAATAATATCAACAGAAAATCGAGAAATTGCGTCACGAGAAGCTTTTTATTACCACGCGCACAATTTTGCTTTACTCAAACTTTCTTCGGTGCTCTCACAAAAAGGGAATTTGGCATAAATTACACAAAATAGTAATGAAGAACATTTGTTATTTCACAGGGTCGTATATCTATATCGAAGCTTCTCCGCAACGCTCTGGGGACGTGGCAAGGTTGCTAAGCGAATGGATGGAACCCAACCAATCAGCTTGTGTTCAGTTTTGGTATCATATGTACGGGTCAGATATCGGTAATCTGAGCTTTTATCTGAAGACTAATAAATCCGAGACATTGGTTTGGAGACTATCAAGCGATCAAGGGGATCGCTGGAAGTTTGGTCAATTTTCTCTAAGCAGTGAAAGGGCTCATAGGGTATGTTACGCTTAGCTTTCAAACTGCCGTACCTTTCGTTTGAAACTTTAATTTTTTTTTTAAATTTTTTGGCTGGAACTGTTCTCATTTTCTGAAAATCTTTTTGGAAAAGCAATTGCCAAAGCATGCACATAAGTGTATATTGATCAGAATTTTTCAAGACGGGTGAATTTTATTCGCTGATTTTGGCTTGGTCAACAGTTCTTAGTAATTCTCTTTCTTTTTTTCCTTTTTTTACTTACTTTGAGTTATATGGAGATTAATAATGTTAGTGAGAATGTTGTCACAAATTATTATCTTTTTATGCTATTTGCAAAGTTTGTCATAGAAGGAACGACTGGTGATGGAAGTGAAGGTGACATTTCAATAGATGATATGTCTGTGCTGGATGAAAACTGTAAAAAGATTATTGCACAAGGTTTGGATTAAAACGCACAGGGAGAAAGCAAAGCAATGGTTTATTATAACAAAGAAATTACTTAAAATAATTTTTAACGCCACTACAGTTCTTTTTTACACCTGAAATATTTCGAGGCGGCCTCTTTGGTGATCTTCAATTTACAAAATGTACAAAAATAGCGGAGCCTGCTGCGCACTTAGCGTAGCCCCATACCTCAGCAAATTTGGTAACCTGTTCGGCTGGACAATTTTAGTTGTAACGCGATGTTCGTCGTCCGTCCGTCTGTATTCTTGTCAACCCCAAAAGGTAAATCACACCTTGCATAGGCGAACATTGCACTGTACACAAGGGCACATGGCAATTTAGTGTGACTGACTTGCAGACCAAACGTGCATGTGCTACTAAATGTGAGTGTAACTTTATGGAGTGAAAAAACTCGTGATCTGCCATAGCGTCGTGTAAGCACACATTAGACCTATTGTGCATCGGAAATCTTCGTGGGAGAGTAATCTTAGATTAACAAACTTTGCTGTTTGAATGCAACATCGACCTAACCAATTTAGCTTTACGTAAATTATCGTCCACTTAAGAGGGTTTATTTTAAAATTGAAGGTGCTTTCGTGCAACATAGACTTGTTAACAGCTGGTTATGGTACAGACTCTGTTCTCAAATATACGCATCAACCTCCACCCATTTTAGTTTTGAAAAAGACACCTGTACCTTAAAACAACGGTGTCAGCCAAACCCATAGAGTAAAACCCTCTAGAGGGTTTGATCGACGGTAGTAAGGTACTAACCTTAACCACTGAATTTCATTCGTTCTTCTGAATTTATGGGTTCGAAAAGAAAAGTTTCTATCATTTCCTTTCAATCTTTAGATAGTCCGGACTGCAGTTTTAGAGAGGATACGTGTGGTTGGGAGACTAGGGAAGGTTGGGCTCTCTCTAAACACTCACCTGACCTAGATGTGCAAAATTACGGTAGGATTTTATCGTCAGCTCGAGATTTTCATTTAATTTTTGTAGGCTGAGAAGTTGTATTAAGGTTTATATTGATTGAAGCCTTTGGCTACTGTATATCTTTTTTATTGCAAGCTTTTGTCGATCCAAGTAAGGCATCGATGCCGTAGATCGGCAAAACCTTGGAATAGAAAAGAAACTCAGTGACTCAATGCCTCAATCGAATTATCCATTTTAGAATAGAAATAACTCAATACGAAATCTTATATGATTAGACGCTCGGCAATCCACATTGCCCATACTTGCTGGCAGGATAGCTGAGCGGCTGACCGACTGACTTGCTCATGAATAAGATTTGTGTTTGTCTCACGATGTAGTCACGTGTGATGTAGATCGCGACGTTTCTACTGCGTACTGCTAGTCTTCTTCAGGCGATGAGGTCGTCTGGTCATGCGTGATCTTATAAAGCATGATGCTCTGCTGTGATTATTTTTTTTCCGCCTGTTGAGGGATACCGTTAACAGCTCTTCTTACAGTATCCGCTTGTTCAGCGTCGAGTTGTCCTACGGCTGCTTCTACCTGGCGATGATCTCTGTGGCAGGAATATTCGCAGGAGTTACGGCGAAGTTCAGTACTTTCTTCAGTAGGGCTTTCTCGGCATCGCTAAGGGACCTAGAAGATAAATTAACAACCCAGTTAGCTTTGTCAACATACAATGTGTCAACCGGTGACACAGTCGCCTGTTTTTATCGAATGAGTTTTTCAAACTTCTGCTTATGTCTGTCCTTGGTGGCGTTGAAGACTCGTTGGGTGTTGGTCTTAATCTGCTCTTATATCCTGACATAAGCAACTCTGGAACGAAGTAAAGTTTATTGATCGTGACCCTCATTACTACACGCGCAGGGTCAAAGAGGCAATTCACATGAGACTTCACCCTAACAACATCAACAGGGATAGTGGAATAGAAATTCCAGAAGCGTGGATGCCCACGATCAAAAAACACAACAACAGGAGACAGCGGACTGCCGAGGGAGCAAATCACTGATCAGCAAGGATCGAAATGCACCAATCAGAGCTGTTGAAAAACAACTAATTACAGCAGAGCATCATTTATAAGATCATGCATGACTAGTCGACCTCATCGCCTGAAGAAGACTAGCAGTATGCAGTCGGAACGTCGCATCACACGTTGTCTTCATCGTGAGACAAACGGAAAACTTGCCTTTTAATTGTTATTCACCACGATGAATAACCACATCCTTTTCTACGAGACTGGCTGAATGACAGACAAACTGAACTAGTGACGGACTGTTGACCGATTAACAGACATCAGCACCTAATGTATGTGAAATCTCTGTTAACTTCTTTCAGGCCATAATCAAATAGCTGCTTTTAATTTCTTACGTCGCTGTTAGGTTCAGGCGTATCATTTATTTTTCTCCGCGCCGGAGCATCTGAAGTGCCTCATACACTCTCGTCCCCAATTATAAACACTATCGAATGGAAGTGCTTACGCTTATGGTATTTCATTGATGCCACAAACTTGTACAAAACGTCGTTACAGGTGCTTCTACAGTCGTTAATATCGAACCTATCTACACTGCTTTTCTTTGTGGATGAAATGGCAAGTGCGACAAACTATACTCAGATACCGTTGCCAAGCAATTACAGCGAAGCAAAGGTACCAAAATGTAATTCTTGTTAGTACACTTTTGAGAAGAAATTTTTGCTGGCTGTAATGACGTTTTGAGATTCTAACTCAGCCTCTTTGTATAGAAGTTCACTTTTTTCTATAACAAGCTTTTTTGTCATTTTTTTCCAACTGATTAATGTCTTATGACGTACACTCCCCTAGCATTAATGTTGTAAGAAATTCCGACACTTGTGACCTATGTGTAAACATTTTTTTTAAACACAATACAGCTTGAATTCTTTGGTGTTTATGAAGAGTTTGGTGACCAAATTTTGGCCATTGAACAAGTTTCCTTTTCAAAAGAGCCCTGTGACCCAATTTCTTGGCGACAAAATGGTAAGTTTAATGTATAAGACTTGAAAACTAGGTTTTGTAAATTTACTTAGTTTAATGTTGGGCGCAGAATACCTTGGGAACGACTCGTTTATTACACAAAACTCTATACTAATAGCTTAAAATTAATTTTGTTTTACGATTCGTTAACCTGTGTATCTTACTTTACAAAATCGCACCCCTCAGACGGAATCGTTTCTCGAAGGGAATGCCTGTGCGTCAAGTTAGCACTAAATCATACGCTTATCTGCAAATGTAACGTTTTTAACCGTCCTACCTTTAAAATCTAAGAGTAATTAATGTAATAAAACCTCTAGATATCAGCGAGCCACTTGGAATGCAAAATGGTGAAATAGTAGACACGCAAATCAGTTCTTCATCATCTATCGATGAGGCTCATGCTGCCAGTCGAGGCCGTCTACACTTAAACGCAACTTCAGGAAAGGCAGGCGCTTGGTCCGCCGGCACAAATGACAACAGCCAGTGGCTCCAGGTTGATTTGCGTAATAATAACATCAGAGTCACGGGTGTTGCGACACAAGGGAGAAACGGATGGTACGCGCAGTGGGTAACGAAATATAAGTTACAGTACAGCAATAATGTGGTGAACTTCCAGAACTACAAGGAGCCTGGACATACCGCTCTTAAGGTGTGCACGAAATCCATTCAGCTACCCATGCCACTTTTTATGTTCATTGTTAATTTTTTTTAGATTTCATCAACCAGTATAGTATAGCTCGCTTGGTTTTTTTTATCGAACAATAGCTCTGACAACTCTTGAGAGTGTTTTAAGCATGGATAAGATAAATCCTAACATACTTGATTCAACTATCAGGATCAATGACACTGAGACGACATATTTAAGAACCTGAATGAGCGTAATCTTTGTCACTTAACAGTGTTAGTTATCACATGCTGACCTCGTGTGAAGATTAAGTCAATACAATTAGTGCTTTAAAGATTCACTATTTTGCTAATGTAGGATTTCGCTGGAAACAAAGATCAGGATTCTGTTGTTTATCACGAACTTAAGTTTCCTATCAGAGCACGATTCATTCGCGTTCAACCAGAGGCTTGGCATAGGCAGATATCAATGAGAATTGAGTTGTATGGTCATCAGAAAGGTATGTTAATCAAAAGTGTGTGGTTTTATCTTCAAATTTAAAAAAATTGTGAAACTCTTTTGATTGAATTAGGATATCCTCAATAGAAAACTAAATTAAACAGAATTGAAAACAAACCAGAAAAGGCATAACATTCCGAAAAAAATAAATTAGAGATGTTCACCATGAATTTGATTTTTATAAGCAAAACGATGTGTCACCTCCATTCTCAAATAGAATGCCAGAGAGCTCTGGGTATGGAAAACAATGAAATCTCCGATGGGCAAATTCGAGCCTCTTCCAGCTGGGATGGCAGCTTTGTCGCTAGCCGTGGGAGATTATCTATTAAAGCATCTGGTCCTATAGGAGGAAGCTGGGTAGCTTCTGCTGAGAATTCACAGCAATGGCTCCAGATTGATCTTGGAGCCAACGATACTAAAGTTACAGGTGTAGCTACTCAAGGTAGGCAAGATGCCGACCAATGGGTTACCAGTTACAAGCTTCAATATGGTAGTGATGGATTGAATTTTCAGTACTACAAGGATCAAGGTGAGGAAAAGGTGAGCAAAAATTATCTTGCCTTCAGCAAAACCTCAATTAACATCGAAAGTGGTAAAATAGGGTCTGGATTAGAAAGGGGAATTCTCAGCTATCAAACTAAGTCGTAAGTTTCTGGCATTACTCACAGTTTGGAAACTTTGATAAAGTTAATGTAACTTTCATGAAAGCTGGCTCTAAGAGCTAAGAGTTCAACGGAAAACACGCAGCAATCTGAATACACGACTAGCCTCCATTTCCATTCTTGCTTATCGTGAGCATAAGAAAATATGGACTAAGCTGGTCTAATGTCAAAACCAGCGTTTGACTAACGGATTGGAAGTTGTAAAATCAACATGTTGTTTTATTTCTCACTGATTTACTACAAAGCGGTTTTGAAGTCTCAGGCGCGTATGGGGTTGCTGCGAAAACGTTCTCTGAATAAATGAGTCTTGTTAGTGTCGGCCTAATGGTATCTGACTTTGTAAGGGGATATTTCAGTTTTTGATTTCAAATTAATCATATTGATAATAATAATAATAATAATGATTGGAAAAACACGCTGTGCCAGCTCGATCACATAAAGAAAGAGTAATGAAGTGCGAAGAAACCATGAAAAATGAGGATAAGATGGCTTTTAAGAAAAGAACTCACTTCGAGCTCACATAAATTTAGGTTAGATTTTCAAAATCATCGTTCAATTTTACACGAACCGCTATCTTTTTATCTCTATAGGATTTTTCTGGAAACAGCGACCGTGATACAGTTGTTTTTCACGAATTAAAACCGCCCATCAATGCGCGCTTTGTTCGTTTTCTCCCAGAGGCTTGGCAAAACCACATATCAATGAGGGTAGAACTGTATGGCTGTCTTGATGGTAGGCAATTTGCAATCTGCCTTTTGCAGATTGAAATTTCGCTAGGGTCCTTTGCAAGACCCTAGCCTTTATTCTTCCTCGCTTTCATAATATTTTTAGGGCCTTCGTCAAACATACTATTTTATGGCTCGTTTTTAAACTAATTTTTGTCAATCTTTTGGTATACTACCAGAATGTCAGGAAGCTCTGGGTATGAAAAATGGTGCAATTCCCGATAGACAAATAACCGCCTCTTCACATTGGAATAGTTATTATGCGCCTTGGCAGGGTAGACTAGATTATAAAAGGACATGGAAAGGAGGGTCGTGGGTATCAAGAGTTAATGATAAACATCAATGGCTCCAGGTTGATCTGTATAGTCCATACATGAAAGTTACGGGAATTGCAACACAAGGTAGAAATGGTTACGATCAATGGGTGACACGGTATACATTGTGGTATAGCGATGATGGTAAACATTTCCAACCCCACAAGGAAGCCGGAGAACCTACGGAAAAGGTGAATATTACGTTATACCCTTAGTATACATATCAATCAGCATTAGAAACGGATTTTTTTCATGCAAATGCTATTTAGTTTTTGGAGCGTGATATTGCATCAGGATGAACAACAAAGAAAGAGCTATGTTTCATTGTTTTGATGTTTTGATGTTCGACCCAATAAACAAGCTAGAACCATAGCCAATCAGGTTTACCTTTAAGTTGACATCATCCAGTTAAGTAGCTAGGTGAAATCCTTTGGTTATAAGAGTTTTGGTGTCATACAATCTTAAAAAAATTTTCCTTGTCTTATCGCAAGGGGAATCTGGATCCTGGTACTAACTAGATCCTCCGCTGCAAGTTTTATCCAAAGTTCGACCCAAATAGCAGGAACCAAAATTCACGGTTCACAAACAACTGAAGACAAGGTTAACTAGAAGAGATTTTACATGGCAGCTTAAATAGCTAGTTTTGGACACCTTCAAATTCGAAAATGTTTCAACCTTGGAAAGTCAATGTTGAAGAGGCGGGCTGTTACATAGCTTTTCAAATACGTTTTAATTGGGGAGGTGAACTTTAATGATACCTGGAGCATTTTTGACAATTATATTTTACTTCCTTTTCATTCAGCATTTTGAGGGAAACAGAGACCGAGATACAATTGTTTACAATAAAATCAACCCACCAATCAAAGCTCGCTATATCCAAATTCGACCACAGGCCTGGTACCGCCATATTTGTATGAGGACAGAGCTTTATGGTTGTCTGGAAGATGTCAGTGGGGGTAAGGACTGTGTTTATATTTAAGCCGACAAGGTGTGCATAGGATTTTTAAATTGTTGCGTATTGAAATTGCCTCTCGAGTGGCCTCCTGTTTTTAGTTGATGCGCTGTAATTATAATTTGCTTAAACCTCCTTCTGTTGGAAACAAAGTTATCGGAAAATAAGGTAATTTGGTTTAATCAACTGAGTTGACATTGAAGGAGCGTAAACAACATAAAAATTCCATTAAGCATTTTTATTTAAGGAAGAACATCAAAACTGTTCGCGTATATCTCAATCTCCATTCAAGCCCCTGAGACCATGGTTTTCCTTCCTGTAGTATTCATCAACATATCAG